AGAAATAAATGTCCCACATCCCATCCATTCCGACCCCCCTAACTTACATATTATGTAAGTGTTGTTTTTTAATTAACTTAATTAGAGAAATCGATCCATGCTGTACGATTATAAAAGGCTAAGGAAATACACATAATATTATGCGAGATGAATGCTTTAAAATTAATTTCAATACTGTTCCGTTTGGAATTGTAAAGTGCAGAAATCGGTGCTAGGAGATGGGGTGTAAGTAAATTTCGAGCTTTCCATTATCTCCCATGAACAGAATGTCTGATATTTTCAAGTATTTGTATTAATTGCTCTCGAGTTGAATTTATATGGTTTCTTATTCAAATTGTTCAATGAAAATACATGTACATGTTTCTTTATTCTCAAATTGTTCAGTTAAATAATATGCTTTTGATATTTAAATTGTTCAATAAAATTACGTGTTTCATTGTAGTTGAATGTTACCGTGCAATTTCACATCACGCAAAAGTACAGAAAGTATTTTCGAATCTAGTGCACCGACAATAAAGTCGTCTCAAGGGGTAATAAAGAATATACAGCAACATAAAATAGAAATGCAATATTTTCTAGCAGACACACCATATGTAATTTGTTCTAAATTATAAGAAATAAGGAGAATTGCATGCCAACTTTTGACTCCATGTTCTGCAATCATTCCTCCATCAATGCTTATTTCCAATTTTCATATTGATATTTTACATCGCTTTTATTAGAGTTTCAAATAAAATGTCATTCATTTCTCATGTTTTTTTCGGTATGATAGACAGTATTCCTTAAATGTAATTCATTTCAGATTGATAGAATGATAGCAAAAATATGTGTGAATTAAAATGCGGTAGGTGCCATTGGCGTAAATTAAAGTAGTTTAGCGACGTGAAGCAACTTTAAGCAGTCCAGTGGCAGAATGCAATATCAAAACAGTAAAAGTTAAAGGAATGAAGAACATCTAATCTATTGTGAGTTGAAAATGGTTTAAAGGGGTAAATGGTGGACTGTTAAAATATTTCTTATACTAGGTGCCCCCCCCCCCCCCAAAAAAAAAAAAAAAAATACATTAAGATTTACTTTTAAATTTCTAAACATCTACTGAACAGAACAGAAAATATTTTAATGATTGAATACAATTACATTGGGCAAATTATTAATTTATCAAAGCCGTAAAAGAGCATTTAAATTGTATTTTTACATAAATGCGCATGTTTTTTGTTGTTTTTTTTTTTTGTCTAAGATATGGTGTAAAAAGCTTTTAGTTCCATTCGATGGTTTTTCAGAAGTTTTAGGCGCCTTGGATCATAAACATTTATGTTGCCCTGTTATCGACTATGTTTGATCAATTGAGAAAATTATATTCACGTATTCTACTTAAAAGACCATCTGCACTACGAAATGGTATAAAAAAAGGCTTAACGTCACGTGTCAGATATTAATCGTCAGTCATTTAGTGTTTTTTTGCGCGTGGTAATTTCAATACTCTTTAAACTTTATTTAATTGTGTTTATCATTATCTAAACGATCATAAGGACTAGTGTCCAATATTGGATGTATTGGAGCAAGTGTCCATATAGGAAATATATTGGACACTCACGAGGTGCAATGTTCAACAGATACCTCCCGTGTTTCATATAAAAGTTTGTGCATGTTACAACATAAAATATAAAACTTACCAATTATCATATGCTCATGGGGACATTCAATAAAATGACGACAATGTCGATCCTTCCGATAAATATCATTCAGTCCTAACATAGCATTTCAACAGTAATCTATTAGCAATAACAATCATTTCATATCGTGGTTTCACGGCATATTGCTCACACTGGAACCAAAACCATTATTTGATATCGTTGTTTTCCGGCTGAAGCCAAATCATCATATTGTGGTATAACAGTATAGTGCTCTTGCTTGAGCCAAAACATTTATTTTATTTCGTGGTTTCGCGGCAAATTGCTTATTCTGGAAAATCAAAACCATTATTTATATCGTTGTTTTACAACATAGTGCTCGTGCTGGAGCTAAATCATGATATTATAACTTGCTTTTACAGAAAAGTGCTTATGCTGGAGCCAAAACCATCAGTTTATATCGTTGCTTCCGACATAGTGCTCATAATTGCTGAAGCCAAACCATGATTTTATATCGTGTTTTAAATAGTCCTCATTATGGAGCCTTATCATCATTTTATATCGGGATTTCAAGGTATAGTGCTCATGAAAGCTGGAACCAAACCATAATTTTGAATCGTGGTTTCTCGGAATAGTGTAATAGTCAAAACCATGATCATTTTATATCATAGTTTTTACAGCAAAATTCGCATGTAATCTTGCTCAATGCAAATTGCTGATCACGCAAAAACAATCAACTTAAATGAAATGGGAAGTGATTGATCGAATGTCACTGCTAAAACCAAAATAAAACATTGATGGAAATTTTAAAGAGCTTCTTGCAGAAGTTTTGTAAAAATCAATACTGAAATGCAATTCTCTCGTTTTCTTGTAAATTAAAGTGATATTTCTTGCAATATTAGATTGTTTTAGTTTATTATCTTGATCAGTTACATGGTGTAACAGTTCATCAGGTTTCGTGCCTCCTTATTGCTCAACAAATGATGTTAAGTACAACATATTGGCACGATTTCCATTATTTGTGAAACATTAAAACTGTTTTTACAGGCAGGATGATGTCATTGTGATTCACTGTCAGGTTTCCTTTAACCGACTTTAGGCAATGAAATGCGGCTAAACAGTCTTCTTCGAGAAAGTGACGACACTTAAGACGCTGCAATACAGTTTTCTATCACTAAAACACCGTGATACGGTCTACTATCGAGAATTAAAAGCTGTGAAACAGTCTATTTTACTAAATGCCCATTATGCCTCGGAAATGCTTTTATTTTTATTTCTCAAAAGTTTTTTTAATTTGGTGTACTTTTATAGTATCCAAAACATTACTAATTGGCCAATTACCTGAACCATCTTGTCAATCAGTTGCTTTTTGGCAGTACAGCTATAGTATTTCAGTATTTTGCATGGAAGTCAAAATACTTCTTTGTTTACATTTTGCTACTTTATGACAAATCATTTCACATTTATCGCTACTTTTTCAGGTAACAAGCGTCTAACATTCTCTAAAATCATTATTTTAACAATATATAATTCATGTTTTCCCTTTCTTAAGACGGAAAATTGTATTTATTTCCGAGGCATGATGTGCCTTTAAATTCAAACAGCCATAATGACTTACCTACACAAAAGTTAGATACGGATTGTTCTTATTATATATAGTATCTTGATACAGGACAATTTCCTTTAGTGAGTTTTTTGTTTTGGTTTTTTTTTTAAACAAAAAACAACTGAGCATCAATACAGCTTTTGGCACGTTTATGATAATTTAACCAAATAAGTTACCAAGAATCCTCATTGTGAGCGTCTTTGCCAATGCTCTTTTATCTTCTTTCAAATAGAAAATAGGGGTATTGTGGCAACTTACGGAAAATTATCGTTACTATGGTACAGCTATGGCAAAATCCGTCAGAATTTAATTCACTGACCTTCGTAATGATTTGAATCTAAAACGTCCTTAATTTAATTGTGAATGGTCTAAGAGGCGCAGTTTTAAAAGAAAAAATCCAATCCACCATGATATAACGAAAAGAATAAAGTTACATGATTCATACATCAACAGAAGTAATAAATATCAGTCGTAGTTAAGTCAATTTGAGAGCTGCACGCCAAGTCCTGAAGATGTTGCCGCAATAATTGAATTTCGATTATTGTTTTCCAATGATATAAGCATGTATCGCTAGAATCATATCTACAAAATGGTGCAGCAATTATGTTACTGTCTATTTTCAGCGTCTCAGGGCACATTGAACGCATTTCTTTAATGTTTATACTGATGAATTGATAGTATGAATATAGCAATACGATTACTGATAAATACAGTACTTCGTTGACAAATACGAAACGAATAAACACACTTCAGGTCCTTCAGTTGATTTAGATTTACAGGATTGACTGAATGATTAAATATTACAAACCTTGATCCCTTGTTATATGTTATCAATTAACAACCTAGCAGAAGGTCAGCGTGTTTGACTATTCTCAGTGCTTGATATTAAGACAAGAGCCTGTATATTAATGTCGAATATTCAAGGTTGAAAAGTGTCATAATTTCTATTATGCTCTCAAATAAGTATCATAAGTTTCGACCCATTTCCTTCAGTAGTTTTGGAGATACCAACTTGCACGCAATTACCTATCTGAAGAGGGATGCCAACGCGGGGTGAGTACAATAGCTTTCCCTATTCTTTGAAAAGTCCAGCTAAAAATACCTTATTGGAGATATGTATCACATTTATTACAATCTGGTATAAAATTGTAGCAAATTTCGGATATGAAAGACCCGCTTCTGGAAGTTGATCGACGGTCATTATAACGGATAGTTAATTCTCTTTAAACTGAAGTCACTGCAAATGCTATCTCATTGACAAAAAAAAATGCAGGTACAAAAAGAGTCGTCAACACCAAGAAAATTATTGGTCAATTTGAATCAGCAAATTACCACGCAGTCACATTTCTATCTTTTCTCGATACAGAATTCCCTGTCAGTATATGTAATTGTTTCCAATATATAAACGGAAACTTCACTGTTCTTTTTTTCTTCGGCATTATACCATTTATCAAAACAAGATCTGTCCATAAGAGGTGGTATGAAAAACTTAACCGAAATTCATAGTGTAAAAGAGGGCATAATATTGTCACAATCCGTGATAGAGTTATGTCCTCTTGCCTGGAAGTGGGGATGCTGGTCACTAACAAGTATTTAAAGTTTCAAAGAAATTTCTGAAAAGGTTATGGGAAATGATTGACGTGGTACGAAAACCTTCACAGAAAGTGTGACTCGAGTGAATAGGATAGCTCTCCTTATCATATAAAAATAACAGTCAAGCTAAAAATAACATATTTCATTTAAAAATGAAAAGTCCACATAAATTTCAATTTTTGCTCACTATTTATTTCGTGTATAATAAACATAATAAGTATTTTTTGCAATTACATAATATTTAAAGATAATGATCACAGATTGCTTAAAATACAAATAAAATGCATAAAACTCTAAGAACATAGTTCGTGCATAAAAAATAGCACATCTTTGATGAAGCTAAAATACAATACACAACATTGATAAAATACATGTACACTAGCAATAGAGTGACCTAAAATACTATTTAGTCATCTTATCACCTGTTCTCTAATGTCAAAGTAATTTTACATTATCTTCTAAATATCTAAGCTTAAACTAAACTCCAGATGCAAATTCCTGAAACTCATAATTTACCATTTGTTTCGAAACATTAGGGAAAAAAATCTGGAAAAGGGTGGAAAGACAGAAAAAAAGACAGTTAAATAACTATTTCTAATTTTCCTCACTCAAAATTCACTTAAATCTGTTAATTTAAATGGGTACCATTTCTATAACCAATGTTATCATATATTCATTACAAGCAAAGCATGTTAGGTAAAAAAATTTACATATATATATTTTTGTCTTGTTTCTTTGCGTTAAGTTTTCTTTTAAATCATTTAAAGAAGCTTTTTACTTTCAAGAACATTGTTTCTCATAAAATAATGTTGTTTTTTTGTTTGTTTCCTCTACATGGAAAAACCCCCGCTGATTATAAGGAAACAATAATAAAAAAAATACAACAACTAAAGACAGCTTAGAAATGATTGATCACATATCACTTAAAAAAACACAAGAATTTCAGGAAGTTTCTTCATACAAGTTTTGTGAAAATCAATAAACCAAAACAAACAAAAAACCCCTCAGGTTTTGCATTTTGAAATGAAAGAGAGTGATTTTTCTTCCAATATTAAAATTGATTGAAAAATCTTGAAACTTTAAAAGTGATTTTTATACTCTTAAATTGAAAAACAAGTTAAATTGATTTTTTTTCATCAATAAATCTTATAAAGATGTGGTTTCAGTAATTTTTAAATATTTTTTTCCTCCATGACAGATTTCATTCACAGCTTTTTTGAAGAATAAATGAAAAGAATTTGTGACATTATTAAATTAAACTACTCATTTTTACATATACATTAAGCCTGTATCAATAAGTCATTTTGACTGTAAATTATTTTCCTTATAACAGTTAGTTACTGTTTTCCACCATCATATTATCAACAAATAAGTTATATCAAATATTGACACGATTTTCATACAAATTATTGTTAATATGATGACCCTGTCACATATGGTAATGCTTTTTGTGCTAACAAGTTAATTATATATGTTCAGTAAGCACACATTTTGTGAACATTTTATCAAATTAACTCCACTGAAAGCGCAATAAACGGATGAGCATCTGCAGTTTTTACCAATTCAAAACAGATACACGAAAACATTGCATATTTTCATTTCTTAAAATAATTTTATCATTTTTTCAGATTTTACAAAAATAACAAAGTTTTAAAGCATGTGAATTTAAGCACAATTATCATAAGGAACATATTTGTCTATGTAGATTCTCAAATATTGTTAAATTGTGTTCTTGTATTGTCATGGTTAACTCCGTCCTTCTCACCAGTTAAAATCATCAGATTCTTCATTTTCACTGAAATAAATTTAAAAAATAATTTGATATTGAATCAGGTAATTTCATTGTGTATATCCCAGCAAGTTTTCATTTTTATGTCTTGATTGATTTTTAAGTTTTGTACAAATATGGTCTCATGAAGATTTGTTAAGCAATTGTTGGTATGAAAGAGAAACTCCAATGTATATCATTTTAGGAACAACAAGAGCCATTGCCTAGCGGGGGCAACACTCAACTTTCTTAATATTTAAGATCAAACACATCAGAGGAAGAATACTGTGGAAAAGAATATTCCTAAAAATGTACAAAATATAACTCAAATTTCATATTTGACCTTGACAGTCAAGGTCATTCAAAGGTCATAGTCACATTTAAATTGATAGCAAAGGTCAATTAATGATCAAAGTCATAGCCAAATATTTCAAAATGCCAGGTTTTGTCATATTCTATTGTCCAAGTATATATCTAATATGTAAATAATTAACAAGGTTATAACAACAAAAGCAAATTTGAATAATTTGACCTTGACAATCAATGTCAAATCTAGGTCAAGGTCACATCAGAACAGATTCAACATGTTGTTTCGTCAAATGTGTTTTTTTTGTTCAAATATGATTAAATATATGGTAAATAAATAAAAAGTTGAGCAAATGTCAATAATGTGACATTGATGGATATTAAGTTGACTATACAATTACAGAAAATTAATATGAAAACATAAACCAAGTTTATTTTTTGATCGAAAACTATCATAAAAATAGTTAATCTTGGCGTTTGATAAACAAACACTCCTTATTTTAAATTCATTGAGTTTCTTAAAATAAAACATATCCATACAGCTCTCGTATCATGTAAGTGGATTTAACAAATGACAAGCGGAAGATTTAAGATTATCATCAAAGCCATGACGATCAAAATATTATACTAAATCAGGTTATAATCAATCATTTATCATATCAGTATATGAAATTAATATTATCCCCTCATAAAACTAGATAAAACTGCTTTAAACTTTAATCCTATTTATAGACATTTACCTTTTCACCTCCTCTGTAAGTGAGATATCTTCATCTACCTGGGAAGCAGTACGCTCAGACTATAAAGTAAACAGAGATAAGTTCAAAACTGTGTGGTAAGAGATAAAAAATCCAAGTGACAAAAATATTTGGTTTACTACAAAGAAATGTTTTTTTAAGGTAGTAAGCTACCATTATAAAAAATGTTATCATCATTTTTAATACTACAGATCAAATATTTTAGCTTTTAATAATAAATTTCTCAAGACCACGCTTAGATTTTGATACATGTTTTTTGCAACCTATTGTTTTTGTGTCAGTGATAAAGGAATGGAAGACAGGGGTGAAGTATTGGGCCTACTTTCTACATTCTGGATCCATGTTTTTGTATTATATAAAGCTTATAATTGAGCCGCGTCACGACAAAACCAACACAATGGGTTTGCGTCCAGCATGGATCCAGACCAGCCTGCGCATCCGTGCAGTCTGTTCAGGATCCATGCTGTTCGATTACAAACCCTATAACAAGTAGAGAAACTGATAGCGAACAGCATGGATCCTGATCAGGCTGATCTGGATCCATGCTGGTTGCAAACCCATTATGTTGGTTTTGTCGTGACGTGGCTCAATTATGTCTTACTCAGTTAAGCCTCCTACATTTTCTCAAATTGATTTGTCAAGCTTCCAGCTTTTGGAACTGACAGTTATCAAATTTCGGAGTTGAAGTTATTCAGCCAACAGTATACAGGCTGGTCAAGATCAGACTGCACGGAATAACAAGCTGGCCTGGTCGGAAAACCTTGTCACTTTTGATTCCAGCAGGTTAAGCGTTAATACGATGTGTTTCCTTTGCCAGTAAAACTAAACTTTTGATATCATGTAATATAACATGACTTAAATAAAAGAAATAAATGAACTGAATTAAAAGCGGAAATTTTAAAATTTACAAACCTTAACCTCAATCTTATAGGATAATCAATGAGAAACTGACCATGATGTTTATCACATTTTATCTGCTAATGAATCAAGATTTTCATACATTTAACTAATTATAAATCAAACAATAAATACACAGAAAATTCATGTTAAATAATTCAATATATATATATTTTACCTCTTGTCTTTCAGGTTTAGCTGGTGCAGATTTCTGTTGGGATACAAGTTCCATATATTTTTTCATAACAGGATCTATCTCCTCTGACTTCTCAGATTTCTCACCCTCACCATCAGCAGGACTAGGTTCCGTCTCCTAGAAATAATCAGATCTCATAAACTATAATCGTTTTTGGCATATGCCATCTGTACAGAGTAAGCTAAGCCTGCACATCTTAACAGGGAGAGATTGTAAGATACGTCTGCACATCTGTACAGAGTAAGCTTAGCTTGTCCGTCTTAATAGAGTTAAATAAAGAGATAAATTTGCATATCTTTGCAGAGTAAGTTAAGTATGTCAATCTTAATATAGTAAAATAAGTGAGATAATATTGCACATCTCTGCAGAATAAGCCTAGCTAGCACATCTGTGCAGAGTAAGCTAACCATGTACATCTTAAACAGAGTGAGAAAGTAAGGTGAGTCTGCACATCTGTGCAGAAAAGGTCTAAGCATGTACATCATTCTTAACAGGGCAGAATAAACATGCATATCTGTGAAGTTAGATAAGTCTGCACATCTGACCAGACTTTTACAGATGACTGCTTCATTTTACAAATTTGACATTTAAATAACTTAGCTAACAATGCATAAAGAGTTTCAAAGTGAAATCAGGTCTAGTCCAAAATACAAACTCAGTGGTATTAAGCATAATCAGGCATGTGGTATTGCTAATATAACATAAATGATCTCAGAATTTTGACAATTTTCAAATAAAATCAAATCTGGATTTCAAATTTTTTGAAAGATGAAAAAAGTTTTGACACTGGCAAATATTCCTTTTTGTATGTTTAGCACTTATATATCTACAATACTACTGGAATGCCTATGCCACTTATACAGTCAACCCATCCTGCACATCCATGCAGACTAACCAGATTCTTTACTGTTGGCAGCACATTTTTATCGTCTTGAGATCCCTTAATCTAACAATTGACATGTAGTCATTTACATTATCAAAGCTTGACATGTCTATTACAAATTAAATTCAAAACCATAAGGGTCTGTGGTTTGAAAAACCTGGTTCAACTCATATTTAATTCCAAAAGCTTTTTTACCATGCAGGGGAAGTAACCTATAATATAGTTTAACCAAACAGTTTTTGTTGATTGTTTACAAGTACAGTGTAAACATATTCTCTGCAAATAGTTTCCAATATATCTATACAACAATGGTGTATTGGAGGTGCAGGAATAATTTATCAAGTTTGCAGCAGATTTAACACATCTATTATTGCCAGACATACCTGAAGCTTACAACTTATAACTCCTAGATTTAAAATACATGTACTGTTATTAATCTTTGTCCTATTTAATAAGACTTTCTTTTTTTCTTTTCTTTTTTTTTGGGGGGGTTTTACGTCACATCGACACAGTAAAGGTCATATCGCGACGAACCAGCTTTACTGGTGGAGGAAGACCTCAGCTGCCCTTCTGTGCATTATTTCAGGCACGACCGTGCACCTGAGTAGAACCATAGACGTTCCGTAAGCTAGCTGGATAGCTTCTTCAAATGAAAGAATCCAAAGTCCCTGTCGGGATTCGAACCCACAGCGGTGAGGGGCAAGTGGTTTGAAGTCAACAACCTTATTAAAAAGACTTCTGACATGTTATATGGCCCAGTATAAATAGTTATATACATATTATATAACGCAAACCAGTAGGTCATATAACCTGTATAAAGTCTGCATATCAAATTCATACAACTGCATCATTGCTTTTATTGATTGAAATAAAACTTAATTAATAACATTTGCAGCTACAGTGTATAATAATAATTATCCAAGAAAATAAATATTGTAAACATATAGAATTATAACCTCTCACATAGAATATGTCTATCATTATTCCATGGGGTTTTGTGCTAGTTTGGTGAAAATATTCAAGTCATATTCCAATAGATGCTAGTCACCTTACAGGTATCCTTGGTTTCAATTATTTATCAATTAAGGGGATTATAGATGTTACTAAAAACATTTTGTCAACTTAATCATCAATGAAAATTGTCCCGCCAAAGACTCATACTTTCTTACATCCCTTGACCTTACACTCAACTTATTGTTTAAAAGAATCATTTAACAACTATACATTAAACATTGAATGATATAAGCTATATCTTATGAAACACATTATAAAATTTACAAACAGAAAAATTATGCTGTTTCCTAAATTTCCTGGTCTGTCAGCTATAGAATATCCCTGTTATGTAGCACGCATGAATAATATAGTATGTAAACAGAATAAAAATTTCTGTGACAAAATATTATGCTGCCATTTTAAGTGAATTTTGACTATTCAGAAATGGTTTCCAGCATTTGCCATTTACTTTTTTTAGTAAATATACAAAACATATTTCTTTCATACCAGTATTTTGGAAGTATTCTACAACAGTTTTTGTATCTAAGGCAACATAAATATAGCTTTTATACACGTTAATATTTAATCATATAAGATAACTTACAAGTTTTTGTCCACTTTGAAGCTGCTCTAACATTTTTTGTTCCCTCTCCCATGCCTCTTGTTCCTTCTTCTTTCTATCTTCTTCCTTCTTTCTCTGTTCTTCCTCCCAAATTTGCTGTTCTCTTTGTTTCTCTTCTTTTGTTTGCTCCTCTGTATAAAAGAACATATAAACATAACCTTATATATTGATTGGCTGATTCGATTTACATATCAGCTAAACATATTGATTTTAAGATTGATTGTGAATTCTATAATTGTATTTGAACCAATTATCAGCTTGCAATTCACAAAATTTACCAGTCATACTTTTATCACAGGATACTGACCTCAACAGCACTGTGACCTCAACAGCACTGTGACCTCAACAGGATTGTGACCTCAACAGGATTTTGAGCTAAACAGAACTGCAACCTCAACAACATTGTAATCTCAACAGCATTGTGACCTCAGTTAGGCTCAAATGCACAATCCTAGGGTTCATAGGCAGATACCTTAACCACTAGGCAACGAATAACAATACCTTTCCTTATTAATACATCAGGTCATAAGGTTGTTTAATGGCCTAGGAATGACACTGATTTACAAACAGTCAAGGTACAATTTTACTCACAAATCATTTATTAGATAATTGCGTATACTTCTAACAGTAAATAATATTCTTTGAACATAGAATAAGTCAGTTGCAGTTTTGCCTTCGTAAAAAATGTGCATTTTACCCTCTTAATTTAATGTATTTTGAATTAAATGGTCAGTTTATACAAATAGTTTATACCAGTATTTGTTTCAATATCATGCAGATTTCATTCTCTTAGAATAGTAGAAATTTTTCTGTCTGTGCATCAAACATTTCAATCTTACTATCATTTCTATTTCATAATATTTTTACAAAATATATTTATATGTACATATAATAGATAATCTGGTATTACTGAAACATTGACAGTTATCAATTCAACATTTTTACCACTTTTTAAGAATACTAACTTGCTAAGAATGAGTTCACACAAAGATGAAAAAAATCAATGTAACATAAAATTATATTGATCACGGAATCAGTATCTGCGGTATTGAGCCAATTTCTTACAATATTGGAAAACAAATACGCACAGCAGATTGTCAAAATTACAAGTGAACTCTTTGTTCATACAAAATTTCTAGATAATGGTCAATAGCCACCCTCCTGAATGGCTTCAAAAAAATTGAAGAATCTTTTCTTCAGCAAGCATTATACAAGTGAGCTCTACAGCAAGCAGCAAGAAAAAACAATTTGCTACCTGTCATATTTGCTACCAGAATAAAAGAGCTATAGTATTTAATGGTAAATTACTTTACACTGTTGCTTGTAGCAAATACATGAAACAAAATACTTCAAAAAGATTGGAAAAATCATACACAAAATGCCATTTTAATGATGCAAACAAACCAAGATCTTCAGTTTTACGTTTAAGTTACCGCATACAATGACTAATAATTTGCAAGTAACTTTAACTTAAATATTCCTTCATACATTATTCCGTATAACTGATATAGAAAACTTAGTAAAATAGAAAGCCCTAGTCAGAAATACTTTCCTCTTGCTGCACCTCGCCTTTGCCCCATGAAATAGTAAAGAACAATATTTTCCATTGTTGATTAGATGATTAATTTAGATGCAAATCCATAAGTACTATATATCCGGGTTTTGCAATTGCTAATACAATATGCATTCTCAAATTCCTGTATTGATCAGTTCCTGGCAACAAGGGAGATAATAACAGTTTCAGACACTGCAGACTCGGACTATAAGATTTACCACCCTTGTCCAGAAGTCATGATCAGGGCAACATTGTAGCGAGTCAACTATTGATCACTTTCTCCAGGACAGTAATGAGTAAGGGAGGTAATAATGAATGAATACTGGACAGCAGGCAAAAAAAAAAAAACACTGCAGAATGAGCACCCTTTACGCTGCTACAACAGTATTTGAAAATTTACTTTTTCCTTTTTAAGATTTGTGCGCATTTTATTCAAAAGGATTGTTCTAAAGAATAATGAGTGAAAAATCTATTAATAATTCAAGATCCTTGTTCAATTAATAGTGAAAACAGCTTCTCAGATCTAAATCTGTTTTGAAGGATAATGAATATTGAGATATTAAATTTTAATTAGCAACTGCAATTTTATACTGACTTTAAAAACAAGCTATGTCCAAAATATATTATGTAATTTGCAAGATCACTAAAACATGGGAGGTAATTCATTTATAGAACTTATACATGTATTTTCACATGAAAATATTTACAAAACTTACAAGTAATTAAAATGTATGCCATACCTGTTTTCCATGCATCATCTAATGCAGGTACCTTCCAGGCAGTATCAAGTGATAAGGGAGGTAATTTGGAAGGAGGTTGAGTAACTTCCCTTGCAACAGGCTGACTGGAACTGGTCCTTGGGGGCACTGGAAGTATTACATGCAAAATATTTCATTATGATCTAATTGTAAATCAAACTTATCCCAATACTTGTATCAAAATTGGAAACTTTAAGCACATAATGCAGTGGCAATAAGTAATTAATTCAAACAAAAACATGAAGCAGGTAAGACCTGTAAAGAAAATATAACATTCTTAACTAAAAGTTAATTTCAGAAAAAAGTTTATTATTATAAACGAGACTTTATTTAAAGTTATCACAATTTTGAATTCATTTGATTTAAGTTATCACAAATATGAATTCATTAAGTACCATTTTCCTTTGTTGAGTTTCCACCATCACTTGAACCATCTGCTTGAACCACCATTATACTTGGTGAGCCTGGCCGGGCCTCGAGGTCATCTATAGTTATTGGACGGGGTTTCTCTACACGCTCTCTGTAAAAATCATTCAACCGCAGTCTTAATTTTCAGATATACATTCACTGAGTGAATATTTATATTGAGGTAATTAAAATAAATTAAGAACCCTAATTACATAAATATAATGGTTTACTTTTAATATAAAGTCGTTAATTCAACTTTCATGAAATATTACATTTGAAACATTCCATGCTAAATATCATGAATGGACTTGTCCATATTTCTATCTGGACAGAACCATTTTCCTCCTTTAGTGAAAGTGTCAAATAAATATTGACTGAACAGCTAACAGTGCTGACCATGTTATGATCGGCACAGATGTGCTGGTTGGTCTTGGTCTGCACTGATCACACAGGTAGATTCAGTTGCTGCAAGCAGACAATAAGTTAAAATGCAAGACTTTTTTTTTTAATTATCCCATTAAAATATAATATTGGTTTATAGAGAATTTATTTGAGTTCATCTGTGTTCGAAGCTATAAGATTATAAACACACTTTCAAATCTGTTCCTGGAACCAACCAGTACTGAGCAATGAGTGTAAAGTTTCTTACTCAAGGAAACAATGACTTGCCCCGGACGGGGTTTCAACCCATGCAGCTAACGATCATTAGATTACTAATCTGACGTGTAAACCACTCAGCCATGCCGCAACATATAATTTTAACGTATCTTTACAGGTACAAACAAAATCTATTACAAAAAGACAGTCAAAAGCAATCCACTTTCAATAAACTTAAAAACAATCCTCTATGTCTATATTAAGAATCACAAAATCTATAAATAGAAGGCTATTTTTAGAACACTTGCCCATGACTTTTTAGCTCATCATCAGAGACATCAGAGAGACTAAACTTTGGCACAGAATCTTGTCCTGATGGTTTCTTTCTGTTATAAGATGATGACCCCTTCAGTTCTGTTAAACTATCTGTAATAGGAATAAACGAGTTATATGTAATAGGAATAAAACAAGTTATAGGACGGTTATTTTCTGTTATACGATGATGACCCCTTCAGCTCTGTTAAACTATCTGTAACAGGAATAAAACAAGTTATAGGACGGTTATTTTCTGTTATACGATGATGACCCCTTCAGCTCTGTTAAACTATCTGTAACAGAAATAAAACAAGTTATAGGACGGTTTCTTTCTGTTATACGATGATGACCCCTTCAGCTCTGTTAAACTATCTGTAACAGAAATAAAACAAGTTATAGGACGGTTTCTTTCTGTTATACTATGATGACCCCTTCATCTGTAATAGGAATCAAGCAAGTATCAATCAACACAAAAGCAGCTACTCTAATAATTTATAACATTTACATGTAACATTCTTATATACTGTCAACTGTCAAACCTGTATTCAGCAGCCATCCAACAGATGCAGTCTTTTTGACTGTATGCACTTACAGATGTCATTGATAAATTTGAAGGCATATATGTTGTATCATGTCAATATTGTATTCAAATAATAAAATATGTCTAAATTGCAAACATGGTCTCATCTTACAAACCAAGCATACACAAGCAATATTGTTGGTAAAGTTTGATTATATACCATTACAGCTTTAGCCAATGATATTCATATATCACATAGAAACAAGCTAATGTTATTCAAACAAGGCACAGTAACTAGCAAATGATATTCATAAAACACTTAAAATCAAGTCACTTATATTTATATAACATATAGAAACAAGTCAATGAAATTTATATAACACAAAGAAACAAGTTGGTGATATTCATATAACCCATAGAAATAAGTCACTTGTATTTATATCATACATAGAAACAAAGCACCTATATTCATATAACACTTTAATTCAAGTGACTTGTATTCATATAATACAGAGCAACAAGTCAAAAATATTCATATAACACATAGAAACAAGTGACTTGTATTCATACCATACATGGAAACAAGTCAAAAATATTCATATAACACATAGAAACAAGTGACTTGTATTCATACCATACATGGAAACAAGTCAAAAATATTCATATAACACATAGAAACAAGTGACTTGTATTCATACCATACATGGAAACAAGTCAAAAAGATCCATATAACACATAGAAACAAGTGACTTGTATTCATACCATACATGGAAACAAGTCAACAATATTCATATAAGACATAGAAACAAATATATGATATTCATATAACACATAAAACAAGTCAATATATTCATATAACACTAAAACAAGTCAATGATATTCATTTAACACATAAAAACAAGACACAAATATTCATATAACACAGAGATAAAAAAGCCAATAAGACTCAAAAGAAACAAATAACTAATAATCATATATCACACATAAACAAAATGGTATGTAATATGTGACTTACCTGTGCTGGCATCAGCATCTTCTGTAGTAGTTTTAGTTTGATGATAAGGGGTGGATGATAAAGGTCTTGCATTAGATATTGGACTGGCAGCTGGGGATGGCATATGATGACCTTTACTAGCTGATAGAAGCAAAAATAAAACCAAAATTAGCAAACAATCCTTACCCTGCTTTTGCATAATGAACTAGTCTTGCTTTCAAATGGAACAGTCTATTTCTACTGCTTTTTATGGAAAAGTCCATTGCTTGTTTGAATGATTTTATTGTCAAGATCAGCAACCAAAACTTTAGATACACAGTTACACTTTCTGTGTTCTTGTCACATCTAGCAAACAAATTATTAACTAGCAAACACATCAAAATATTAACCAACATAAATTAATAATAACTAAAAATGTGTCTATAGGGCACTGATGCCAAAACACTACGGATTTGTTGGTCTACCCACAGAAACCGGGATGCACAGCAGGACAGACAGACATGGGCAATTCTCCCCCAGATAAGTAGTGGGGGCATAAATATAAACTTGAATCTTTTTCTAGTAAAGCTAAAATAATATCATGCACATTCAAGTAATTTTAATTAAACCATGGGATTGTTAGTAACATTTAAAGCAAGGAATACAAAATTTCATGATGATATATTTAAATTATGTTATTATGAACAATTAAAAAAATATCTGATCTGTTTCTTATTTATAAATAATTTATCAAAATATAGAATCTAATAATTATCATTATGCTTCATCCATGTTCAATTTTTAAAAAAAAATGCCCCAAAAAAATCTCAAGTTGCAATAAAAATATGCCAAATTTCAAGACTAGAACAAACTTCTGGGTGTACATACCAGATTTTTCTGATTGAGATTTTCTGAAAGAATGTCTTGTAGGGTCAGGTATTGAGGAAGGGTTTGTTAACTGGTAGTGAAAGTCTACGTACGCCTTCTCCAAGTTCTGTAATAACAAAACAAATCATAAAATCTTGTGTTTATACTACAACATACTGTACTGCATGTAATACAAGTGACAAAACTGAATTTTTTTACTGCCATTAAAGTCAAGAAAGACTAAAAAATGATAATCTAATTACTAACAAGTGTGCTTTTTACGCCATACTTTTAAGAATGAAGAAAAAGCTTACATTGCCATTATAAATTTATTAACATTTAAACCTTCGGCAGTAGTACAATTTCAAATAATATTCAATACTCTACTCACATGATACTTTTTCTTAAAGGCATTAAGAAAACTTGGACATAATAATTCTGTTGAAAACTTAATGCTAACATTTTATAAATTGAAATTAGTATGTGTTTTGAAATTAAACATAAAATATCACATGTATTTTAAAACAATAATACTTTTTAAAATTGACACATCTCTCATTACGGACATACTCTCAATTTTATATTTTGTAATGTACTGTCATGCATACATTGGAAATTAAAAATCTCATTCAACAAAATATGCAACCTTTAAATTAAATTTGTCTGCTTCACAAAAAATATGAAATATTAAGTTCAACAATGAAATTCAATGCATATATAGCTTAAACGTAGAATACAGGGTCCAATGCTTTTCTCTTGACTTCTTTGATATCTTTTGGATACCATCTGAAATTTCTTATCAGGATAAATGTATCACCCTTGCTATTTCATAATTTAGAAACGTATTCTGCACAAAATTACTTAAACAGCCTTCAATACAAGCAGAAACCACCTAAGACAATTGGCTAATACAAACCTGAGCCTCCTTTTCTAAACTCTTCAATCTATATTTAGTATTGGCAATAATGCTAGCAGAGTTATTGGAAGATTCATCCCCATCCGTCATAAAATCTGTTGAGATTATTGGCGCACTAAATTCATCAAGGTCCACATCGTTATATACGTCATCTCTATCCACACCAGGTGGCGTTCTACTTCTACGACTTCTCCGTCGACCTTTATGTGAAAGTTCAAGGTCACTGTCAATGTCACTGACTGCTGCTCCCATTGACCTCCGAGAAACATTCATAGACACAAGCCTGTAAAATATCAATGAAATACTGCATTAGGTAGGACCACAAATTATGTACATGTATTACATTTTGACATTGTTGTTCTTGGTGTAGTATAATGTTGACACCATTTTCTGTAAACAAGTAGGCCTGATAAAGACTTTTGAGCTGAAACTTTGTCTTTTTTAATAAAACAATACATTTGTAAATTTAAACTGGAGTTGATTTTTATATTCAAACATACATAGATGGAACTTTTAACAGTTCCCAAATTTTCAGTTTCAAATTTTTTCAAGCAAAAACCTCTGCCATTGTTATGTAACTATTAAACATAATAAACCAATATCTAACAAATTCTCTTCATAGATTTGAACTTCTTACTGAAAGGAATTCAATTTGTTTTCTAACCTTGAAGAATCAACATCCTGAGGTTTTCTGTACACTTCGTTATGAAGAGCTGAAAACAAAATATTAATAAAGAATCAAAATTCAGAATTTTTTTCAGCAAACATGAATTAAACTTACATTGTATTTTCTGATTAGAAAAATAATTTGTATCAAATCAAAACACTACAGGCTTAATAACTTTGAAAAATACTGAGAGTGGCTGCTTAAGTTTTTATATAAGGGATGATAAAATATTGCAAACACCAAAAATAAACTATAATGCATGTCTCTTTTATTGAAATTCTTAAATGAATATATCCCATTAAAAATTTATGTTATTGAAAACTAAGTAGCGACAGTTATGACCCCTGTCAAGACCCAACTTTATATTAGTGGGTACTAAGTAGTATAATCTTTATTTCAAAACCCCTCAAACTTAAAATGTAAATTCTATTTTCAAATATTGAGTATGTAAAATACTGTCAGCAAGGTTAAAATAAAGATTTAGTTTGAAATAAGACATCTATGATTTCTGATTTGGCAGTCAATCTTCAATTAATCATGAGTATTCTGAAATATTGATAATTTCATACCTTTTTGAGTATATTGTAATGTTTGTTTCACATCTACTAGTTCCTGTCCCATTTCTTTCATCTGTAATGTCTGAGCTTCAAATTGCCTCATCAATCTATCATCTCTACCTAACATCTGAAACAAATAAAACACATATACTATTCACTACCATCTAAAACAAAAAACATAAACTATTCACTACCATCTTAAATAGAAAAACACATAAATTATTCACTTTTATCTTAAACACTAAATGCAAATGCTACCATTAAATATAAAGTTGCAACACATTCCCTTCAATGGTATTGGAGATACAAACTTGCCCACAAAAAGTATGACGCTGACATTTGCCGGAGTACAATATTTCTCGATATTCTTTGAAATGTCGAGTTTAAAACGACAAAAGATACATCTGATGCAATACCTCATCATATCTGCCAGCACTTGGCGGTCGTCGACGATCATAAGATGATCGGTCATGTCTAGGCGAATCACTTCTATCTACATATTCTGGCATGGCTGTAGGTCTCCTCAATTCTCTTAGTAAATCTTCTTGACCTATAAAAAGAAATGAATTTAGAATGTCATCATGAAAATTAAAAACATTATAAGCTTTTGTATTTGTGTTGTTTTTTTTTTTGTGTGTTTAAACCTAAGTTTTAATATTTCACCCAAATTGATGATAATTCACAACACTAAAACAAATTTTTACAAAAATTGATAAAGATTTCAACAATATATTACTATCACTTATTACTTAAATTTAAACAAATTTCTTTAAACTCGAAACAGTTCAAAATAAGTAACAGGGAAATAGGTGTTTTGTGGAATGGTTATGATTTTATGACAGACATGAACAAGAATTTATTGTTGCAGATGAAATATTTTTATGTGTTATAAAAAATTGTATGCAGTCATTACTCACGTATTCTTTCCCTCTCATTTAACTGCATAATTTCAGCCATTCTCCTACAAAAATAAAGACAATATATAAAAAGTAAATCTTTTAATACTTTCCATGTTCATGTGTGATTAAAACTGGAGAAGAAATTGTAAATATATTAACTAATCAAGAGAGAGTCATATAGTGTTTAATTTGTAAATATTTTGAAAATTTACACATGGAAAAATTATCTCATCTTCGGAAGAAATTAAACCAAAAAGTAGTATATGAAAAGTGATCCAAAGTCAGAAACCACAATAACTCAGTAAAACAAGCTTAAAGTAACTCCACTGAGGTTTGTTTGACATGACAGAACAGAAACATTTTTTTCAAAATTCTTACGTTTTCAGGTTATCTAGCTCTGTCCTGAACGTTATATTCTGGTCTTTGATAGCTGCATAGTCTGCCATCTGAAAGTACATGTATATAAATATAACTACAAAAACTTTGCAAACTAGTTAAATATTCAATAGTTCATAAAATAATACCTTTAGTAGACCTTCATTGTTTTTGTAAACCTTAACTTTTAATATCATGAAACGTTGTTCTGCCTTTTTAGGGTCTGTGACATCAAACCCATTGTGACTAAGATGATCAAATGTAATTTTTTTTCTCAGTTTAAACATATTTTATTCCTTCCTTTTTTTACAAGATGTACAATGCAAATATATAGAAAAAATACATTTTTTAAAGAATAAGGGTTGGACCACAAGTTCATGTAACATTATTAATTCGGTCCATACCTGAAATTTTCTCACAGTCATTATAAGAAACTGAATATTAATCTGCGCCCTACTTAATGTACAATGGACTTGTCCTCCTTTAAATTTGGAACATTCCATTGTTAACATGTGGGAAATCTGTATGCTAAAATTAGGCAGCTAACATTATAGATCCTGGTCAGACTGTATGGATGTGCATACTGGCCTAGCAACATACTGCCCAAGCAACATACTTACCTGGCACTGTACTGGGGTGACTAACCAGAAGCTTTCGTTAAAATCACGCTAACGAAAGCGTTAGCGATCGCGTAACAAACACGTTAGTTATTTTTATGATTGTTTTTGTTGCATAACCAGAAAGCATCGTTACCATATCGCTAATCAGTTGTTAGTAAAATTCATTAACGGAATCGTTGTGTAATCCTTAAGGGTATGCACAGCATTTTGGCACCACCTGTTATTAGCTTTTCCTGCATAGATTACATTGCACGTACAAATAATTGTTTATAAATTATTTATAAATTGTTTAAAAATGTTTGTACAAATGTACAACCATATATCTGTGAACGCACAACTGCTTCAAAGAAACAGTTGACACTCTTTATAAATCGTTTTGTTTGTTTGTTTGTACATATGTATATCATACGTTCGCCGTAAAACGCGTCTAACGAAATCAATCCTAAGTCGTCGGATATACAATACGATACAACCTGTAAAACCTGTCAAGACCGAAATATTCTGCATCTTAAAGATGAGGCAATGAACTTATAATGTTAAACTTTATTGTATTGAATTGTATTGTATTGATACAATACAATACAATAAAGTTTAACATTATACAACGTTCTAGCAAAATATATAGACAGGAAACAACTGAACATTTTGGATGTGCAAAAAATAGAAAAGGAGAGACTAGATATAAGTTCATTGCCTCATCTTTAAGATACAGAATATTTCGGTCTTGACAGGTTATATGTGTGTGATGAAAAAGAGGAGTACACTATTAAAGAGTAAATGTTAAAGTGCAAAGTAAATAAAAAACAATAACATTTGGATACTTTTCGAGATAGATATACAATGATAGAAAAAAAGTAAAATAATCCTCTTATCTGCTAAATAAGTAATATAAATATATGATTTGATATTTCTTTGTGATGAAATGTACATAAATAAAGATTTATACACAATTTAAGAGAAATTGTTAATTATATTTCCTTTTAAAGGCAAAGTATCAATTTTTTAACAAATGTGAATTTTTTTTTAAGAATAAGGTAATAAAATAGTTTAAAACTTTATGATTATTGGCCAATGGCAATAATATCTTCGCTAATATCTTAATCGAACTCTTTCAAAAATATTGACGCTAAATAGTAACGTAATTTTTGTTTTGATTTTAATGAATGAACTGCTTTTTCTGTAAAACGTTCTTTACATAACCTTTGTTACACACTGGTGAAAATTTGAAAATTACATTGGGAAACAAAGCAAGTTTCGATTAATTATCTTTACTTTTCATGAAAATAGAGGTAAACCGTTAATTTAACCCATTTGAAACGTATATAATAGTTTTATTAAAATACTCAGATGAATTTCATTATAACCAAAAACGTCAAAATTTATCCATATACTGTGTTACGCTCTTTCATTGTACATGAATGTGTTTATGCTGAATTCCTTAATTTCACTTTGTACATAGAACTAGTATAAGGTATAAGTCTTTTAAGTATTAAAAACTTGAAACTTTAATGTAATATTATATATATTTGATTCCATACATGAAAGAATGTTATGCGTAGTTAAACATGCAATACAAATAGTGTTAGCTTGTTTAGAGAAATAAGGAAATATGAGGGAATGACACAGATACAAGAAAATACTATCACAGAAGATAGCGATCAACAAGTCGTGTATTAATGAAATAAATCAACCTCCTTAGAAGCATTCAAATATTTGAGAGTCCAAAGTATGTCAGTTATCTAAATAATTGTCTGCGGAATGAAAAAACAACATCATTTGTATAAAGATATTTGGAATTATTCTAAAAATCATTTACGAAAGAAATGCTCACTCAAGTTTAATGAGTACGGTATGCGCCATTTATTATTATTGTTAAACTTAGCGTTAAAGGTAAATTCTAATGTATATTTACAGCAAATTTCGTTTGGATCTGTGAGTTATTTATTGTTTATGTGAACTAAATTATAAAATTAAAAGGAATTATGACAAAATGAAAACTTATTTTGATATTCATCCATTCTCTCACTACATACCCTTGGATGGCAGATGGGCATAATATCACTTTAACATTAACGTAATTATTTTGAAAATGAATGCAGTAATAATAATAATAATAATAATAATAATAAATAAATAAATAAATAAATAAATAAATAACTAAATAAATAAATAAATAATTACTTTACACATTAAGATATATACAGATATTGTAACACCATATCAAGAACTTATTATCAGGAAAATAGAAAGAAAATTCGATATAAGAAATAATATATACTCATGAAAAGTTTGTTGAAAGAGCTTCACACGTTGTTTTTCCTTCAACGAAGACACGTGTACTCCGAGGTACTCGTTATTTAACGACAGTTTCGTTACAATTTTTGGTATAACGAACGTTTTGGGTCAGAGGGTAAATTACTAACTAGAGCTTAACCAAGGCTTAACGATGATCGTAACTCTAACGAATGCTTCTGGTTACTCACCCCTGGTGCGGTAGCATTATCATTACCGCCCCTTGCATTCAAACATTTGAACATATTGATACTTACATCCCTAAGCTTGGCATTCAAGAAATCATTATGTTTTGTAGCTCCAACTTCTTTATGTCTTGCCTCTTGTAATAATGTCTACAAAGTAATAAACCAATAATGAGTGGATTAAAGTTATAATCATGCTGTGTCATAAAATTAAAATCTAATTAATTGCCATGACTCTGTCCTAATTAATTTAAATATATTTATTTGAGCGGGATTGTGAAAGAAGGTTTTGCAACTTATATGAAACACTTTTGAGGTCATTTCCTGGAACCAACCAATGCTGGAGTCAAATGAGGGAACATGGTTATGACGACCAAAGTAGAGCTTAATCCCACAATTACTGGGTTGAGAGACAGACACCTTTACCTATAAAAAAATATTTCCAATAACACTGTAACAATTCCAGTCCCTTTCATAAAAAATTGTCACATATTCTGTGATAACATATATAATTTGAAAAATATTTTTCCCATATGTGTGTAATGGAGTCAAAAAATTAGGAAATTTTCAAACATACTAATACAGATTATTCAACAGACATCTTCAAGTTAAGTTAAAACTAGTTTACAAACTGTTTTATTAAAGATTATGTGAAGCTGATAAGTTATAAAACATACCTCCAGTTCATTAACTCTGGCAGTTTTATCTCTAAGATCTTCCTTCATAGAATCTATCTTATTCTGATCTTCTGATACCCTCTTCTCATTCTCTGATATAAATAAAATGATTTATATAAAAATATGTAGTAACAACAAAGGTGACACTGTCACAAAACACACCTGTCACAAAAGCCTTAAGTGGAGATGCGGGCGATAAGAGGTATGGCAATCAAGTTGGTCCCTATACATATTTTTGTATTTTCATCTGAGATATTACCTCTATGTGTGACCTTGACCTTTGTTCAAACAGGCGTATAAAAACAGGTCCATACTTAAACATCTTTATAAAACATTAAAGCATACCAATATCAAATATATTTAAAAAGATGAAACTTATAATAATTATTTGACAAATATGTTAATGTAACTCAATATCAAATATAGATAAAAACAAGAGGGCCATGATGGCCCTGAGGTCGCTCACCTGTATATAGCCACCCCCCCACCCCACACCCATAAGAAGATGTTTCATGCTAAACATCTTAGCTCTAGCTCATTGGGTTTTTTAAAAGAAGATTTTTTTAAGTTTTTACTATACACATATAGTTAAAAACAATGACACCCCTGGGGCGGGGCCAGTTTCGACCCCAGGGCTTTTATTTGAACAAACTTTGTAGACACTTACTAGAAGATGTTTCATGCTTAAGATCTAAACTCTAGCTATTTGGGTTTTCTCAAAGAAGATTTTAAGTTTTTGCTATACACATATAAGGAAAATCAATGACCCCCGGGACGGGGCCAATTTTGACCCCAGGGCTTTTATTTCAACAAACTTTGTAGACACTCACTAGAAGATGTTTCATGCTTAATATCTAAGCTCTAGCTATTTGGGTTTTTTCAAAGAAGATTTTTTAAGTTTTTGCTATACACATATAAGGAAAATCAATGACCCCCGGGGCGGGGCCAATTTTGACCCCAGGGCTTTTATTTGAACAAACTTTGTAGACACTTATTCGAACATGATTGATGCTAAATATCTTAGCTCTAGCTCATTGAGTTCTTTAAAAGAAGATTTTTTAAGTTTTTACTATATGCATATAGGGAAAATCAATGAGCCCCTGGGGCGGGGCCAATTTTGACCCCAGGGCTTTTATTTGAACAAACTTGGTAGACACCAATAAGAAGATGTTTCATGCTAAACATCTAAGCTCTAGCTCATTGGGCTTTTTAAAAGAAGATTTTTTTAAGTTTTTGCTATACACATATAGTTAAAACCAATGACACCCCTGGGGCGGGCATGGGTGAAAGTTGGAAATTTTAAAAATCCTGAAAATCCTGAATTTATCAGTTTTTCTATAGTTTTACATAGGAAATAGAAGGCTTTCAGGAGACTGAAAATCCTGAACTTCAGGAATAATCCTGAAAACTTTCACCCATGGGGGCGGGGCCAGTTTTGACCCCAGGGCTTTTATTTGAACAAACTTTGTAGACACTTACTAGAAGATGTTTCATGCTTAATATCTAAACTCAAGCTATTTGGTTTTTTTCAAAGAAGAGTTTAAGTTTTTGCTATACACATATAAGGAAAATCAATGACCCCCGGGGCGGGGCCAGTTTTGACCCCAGGGCTTTTATTTGAACAAACTTTGTAGACACTCACTAGAAGATGTTTCATGCTTAATATCTAAACTCTAGCTATTTGGGTTTTTTCAAAGAAGATTTTTTAATTTTTTGCTATACACATATAAGGAAAATCAATGACCCCCGGGGCAGGGCCAATTTTGACCCCAGGGCTTTTATTTGAACAAAATTGGTAGGCACCTATTAGAACATGTTTCATGCTTAATATCTTAGCTCTAACTCTTTGAGTTCTTTAAAAGAAGATTTTTTAAGTTTTTACTATATGCATATAGGGAAAATCAATGACCCCCTGGGGCGGGGCCAATTTTGACCCCGGGGCTTTTATTTGAACAAACTTGGTAGACACTCATTAGAACATGTTTCATGCTAAATATCTTAGCTCTAGCTCTTTGGGTTCTTTAAAAGAAGATTTTTTAAGTTTTTACTATATGCATATAGGGAAAATCAATGACCCCCTGGGGCGGGGCCAATTTTGACCCCAGGGCTTTTATTTGAACAAACTTGGTAGACACTCACTAGAAGATGTTTCATGCCAAATATCTAAGCTCTAGCTCTTAGGGTTTTTTAAAAGAAGAGATTTAAATTTTTTTTCTTTCGGTTGCCATGGCAACCAGAGTTCTGCATGGAATTAAATTCTTTGAACAATTTTTAAAGCTGACCACTAAAGGAACATTCCTGTGAAGTTTGGATGAAATTGGCCTAGTGGTTTATGAGGAGATGTCATTTAAAGTAAAAGTTTACGGACAACGGACGGACGACGGCCGGACGAAAAGCGATCACAAAAGCTCACCCTGTCACTCTGTGACAGGTGAGCTAAAAACAACATTAACATTTATATGTGTACATGTGTATATATAGACAAATATGCTAAGATATTTATAAATTTCATATTTGTTTATTGTAAAAATTACAAATCAAGATTCAAATATTTGGGCTTACAAAAAAACAACATAAATGTGTGTTATTTATATACATACCAGCACATAATTGTTCTGATATGCATGTATATTTTACATATAATATATTCAAAGTGTTAAATACATCAAATACTACATATAGCTTTGTGCAGTCAGTTAATTTCTTCCGGTACATTTTATACATATAAGTGACCTATCAACAAAACATAATGTATGACAGTGAAAGCTCAAAAACATGCAAATGTGACATTCATTTTTGTAGCCCATGCTTAATTCTCAGAACTTCTTTAAAGCTTAAACAAAAACATATGTACAATAAGATAGTCAACTTGATGACTTGTCAGCAAACCGAATTTAACATCAATTCAACCATGTGACACCAGATACTTGTGTGAGTGAAAAAAGGTTATTGCAAAATGAAAGTAAAAGTGTTATCTGGAAACAATTATTTTGCTTAAGTGTGACACAACATTGAACTTAACCTCTCTGATAATCCCTTGTAGGCCCGTTGTCATGGTAACACTTACATGACTTATTATTATATCTTCTACCTTGGTCTTACATAAATGATATATAGATATTTATATAGAAAGTGCAATAAAAATTATCATGTATTTTAAAATTGTACATGATGATGTATGCAGTTATATAAAACATGAGGTAATACATGTATGTTGTTAACATAAATACAATAATATTCACATATTAGACATTATATGTATATTTGCATAATGAATTTTCTTTTTTAATCTTTGCCTTTTCAAACTATGCAACACAAGTTAATATTCAAATGACTCAAAACTGGGAGATATATAAAGGCTTCACACACGTATTTTAAATTAGGTAACAAAACAAAATGACTTACCTCTTAAAGTGCCTTCTCTTATTTCTATATTCTGTGTTCTCTCCAGAAACTTTGCCTGGTACTCAACTTTAAACCTGAAAAAGATGTTTCAATAATGATTTCTATTAAAATACATGTAGCAATCTTCATAATATACAATATTTAAGAAAAATACTTTTATTGATATATATAATGCCATTTCCAATTTGATTGTTGTAGGTCAAAGTTTCAATTCAATAATGGAGATAGTAGAGATAAAAAGAGGGGAACATGAGCCGTGCTCAACCAAAGTCATTATAGCTTACTATCTTAAAATGTAAAAAGATAGTCAGTTTTAATCATTAACCAATTCAACAATATGTCAAAATCATTAAAAACTGACTTTGTCATTTCATTCTGTAATCGCTGATCAAACTCTCTTTCTTTCCTTGTTACTTCCATTTCTCTATGCCTCACATCTTGTTCCAGTGCCTTTATCCTGTCTTTATCCAAGTTCTTCTCCCTTATCATAAATTAAATAAAACTTTAGATAAAACTTTAATAACTATTTTGAATTACGGGTTGTTGTATCACAGGAACCCGAAATTCTATCCAAAACAAAAAAGTAACGATTTAAAAAAATCCCATAAATATACTATAAAAAAAGTGTTTTTATAGTATATATATGGGATTTTTTTTAAACTTTATTTTTTTGTTTTGGATAGAATTTCAGGTTCCTGTGGTTGTATATTTGCTACACAATTTTTTTGATTTTTTAGTACTAGAGTTAAGATATTCAAAAATGTCTTGTATTCATCCTGATTCAAAATGGTCCTGCTCTATCTAAAAACAGTTCAAAATAAATTGACAGCAGTCATGTATGAAGTTTATAAAACATTATGATTATCAAATGAAAAGTGATGCTACAAACATGCTGCATTATTATTGTAATTGTAGACAATTTTCAATTCAGACTGTTTCTATATAACCACTGATTAAAATTGTCCAATCACAATCCTTTATTTACAGACTGGTCTTCTGGTATAATGGAGATGGTATAATAAATGAAAACTGTGTGTACCTTCCAAATACTTCAGTCTCCCTCTTGATGGAAGATTCCCTCTGTCTTACAGCCTCTATCTCCTCTAATATAGACTGCCTTTGATTATATATCTCTTTTTCTTGCATCTGAATATACATGTACATGTAATATATACCAATAATGTCTTACTTTTAAATTGTATTAACATTTAATAAGATGACTTTATTTTTCTATTGTGTGTGAGGTTTAAGTCACATGTAAGATTACTTTATAAAGTCAGACTGCACAATAAATTAAATCTCTGTAATACAACATCTTTCAGCAACAACAATACATTTGACTCCTAAAGAGCATTGCTCTACAGAGGTTGTACAGTAATTTAAGATCAGCCAATTTAACCATCCTGCCAAAAAAGGATCCTAACAAAGTAAGATACAGAAATAAAGTGAAACATAATTAAAAGACTCTCATTCAATAACTCCAAGAGTAATAAAATGTTACTAAAAAGAGCATAAATTAGTTGGGACTATTTTAGGCAAAATACAAATCTGCATAGAAATCTAAGAAATAAAAACAACCTTTAACAAGCTTAGTACCTTGCCGTATGAAATATTGTACACTGTTTAGACAACTTAGTACAATCAACAGTAAAAGAGTATGTCATTTTGAAATTTTCCTCACTAAAATTTTACCTCTTGTTCTCTCTGTAACCGTTCTGTGGCATGCCTCTCCCTTACAACTAATGCATCAAATTTAGACTGGTATGTACGTTCCAACTGTAACACAAAATTAAACATTACAGCTTAACCTTTAGTCTGTGGTTGCAACTGTTTCTAACCAATGCACATAAAAATCAACTGGCATTAGTTATAACCAGAATAAAATTTAATAAGTGATGAGTGTAACGGTTAAAACAATACAACAAATCCACAAATGAGTCAGAAATAATTTCTCCACATAAATTGTATTTCTGAATGCTCTTTATCTTTTATACTCACATCTTTTCTAGCCTTGTCCAGTTCCCTTCTAAAGTTTTCTTTTTCTTCTAGTCTTATCCTAGCAACTTCATCATCTTTTACTCTGGATACCTTTAAATACAAAACATCTTTAAATATTAAATAAAAGCATAAAGTAAATAAATTAAGGCTTAAGTCTTCAACAAAAAAAATCATACTTTGCAACCATAACAGAGTTATTACTCGTCAAATTACAATAATGGCCTTCCCTTGATATACATTTGTACTAAAAACTTTAAACACTTTACAGACAGCTTGAAAAATTTATTTATTGCATTTCTGTTTTTCATTAAACTAATCTGCCATTCCTTAGATAACTAAACTAATAAAAACTTGAAGAAATAATGAAGACAACCTTACATTTTGATAGTATTTCATATCACATTAAATGTTATCTTTTAGTTAGGAGTAAGAGGTGTTAATATGTAACACATAAGTATTGTGCACTCTGTATATCAGACATATACCTCAAGTTTAAGTTCTGACTTGAACCTTTCTTCAAGCTGTCTTTGGAACTTCAACAATCTGTCCTCTAAAGCTGTTGCCCCAGTCCTATACTGTTCCTCTCTCCTTGAACTAAATAGGTCATCAAGTACATTCATTTTCTCATCTGTAAAGAAAATATATCCAGTTACTAGCATTAAATATATGCATTCCAAGACTTTAAGAAACACACATCTATATATCAGTTATTAACATTATATGAAGTTTTCCTATTGCATTAATGGAAAATAAGGCTGGTTCCCTGACTTATAACTTTTAAAATATGAAAATTGTATACAAATAATGAGATATGCCTATGAATTAAGAGATGATTATAAGACATAGAAAAGTAACTTATACTCTTCTTTTAACAATTACAAAACTCATTTTGTACATCATCCACTGCTCGAATGCCAGGTTTGACTGCGAAACTGTTGTAAGTCCTTTATTTCATATAAGTTACTGCAGTTTTGCAGTCAACCCTCAAGTCCAGTATAGAGCAAGGCCAGTTTGCACAGCCTCCTGTTCAAAAGCAAGCTTGTAAAACTGAAACTGAAGTTAATAAACTTACCTAGTGTAGAAATGGTAGCTACTTTAATAAGATCTGTCTGTGTGCCAGATGACTGACTTGACTGACTGTGTAAGGAACAAAGTTCAGTCAGTAGTTGCCATAGAAACCCTTTCCTTGACTTGCCTGGATGATCTACAGTCTGTTAGCAAATCAACATTCAAATCAGTATCAAATATAAAATAATCATTGCATTGTACCATGTGAGCATATATTTGAATTTTAGAATTTGCAAAAACACGCTTTACGATTGCAAAGATGGCCCAAAATTAAATTTTTTTGGTATTTCAAAAACAACAAGCAATTATCATAGTATTGCAAGCAATCCATAAGTCCCCGGTTAGAACCCCATCAACATTCTGAAGGGCCATTGGCCATTCACTAATGTTTTAACTTTTTCTCTATTTTAAGTAAATTTGTTTGAAAAGTTCTTTAAAAGTGATCACAGGAAACAGTTTTTATGAACAGACAGACAGACAGACAGACTGAAGGACACTCTAAAGTTAATATTTGAAACATCCCTGTTACCAAAATATAACATTTTTAAAAGCAAAATTCTTAAAGAGGAGATAACTCTTGAAATTTCATAAAAATTTTCAGGTCTTTTTGACTAATCACAATTACTGTTATATTTGCCATGTTTTAAGCTTATTTGTTGCCAAGGCAACCAAAATTTTTTTCAAAATAGAAAGAACAGATAAGACATGCATAATCTCAAGACTGCCATCTACCCATATGTCAAGTTTCATAAAAATATTTCCAGTACTTTTTGAGTTATCACTGGATTCAGTTTATGTGTAAAATTTGCCATATTTTCAGTCTATGTGTTGCCATAGCAACCAGAATTTTCAATATAGGAAGAAAAGAAAAAGACGTGCATAATCTCCAGACTGCCATCTACCCATATTACAAGTTTCATAAAAATATTTCTATTACTTTTTGCGTTAACACTGGATCCAGTTTATGTGTAAAATTTGCCATATTTTAGTCTATTTGTTGCCATAGCAACCAGAATTTTCAACATAGGAAGAAAAGAAAAAAACGTGCATAATCTCCATACTGCCATCTATCCATATATCAAGTTTCATTAAAATATTTTCAGTACTTTTCAAGTTATCGCGGGATCCAGTTTTGTGGAGGGACGGACTGACAGACAGACGGAGGGTAAACCTTAGGTCCCCTCCGGTGAACCGGTAGGGGACATATAAATGCATATACTGATAATCTTGATGTCTAGGTTGTTACTTTTTACAAGAAATATCAGTGAATCCCATCATATTTCAACAGCCTGTTAATAAAATATCAGAGCCCTCTCTTTCGATACAGAAGGGAAAATTTACTCAATTGTACAAATTGTATAATTGTACACAGTTCTCAAAATATGCACTACAATTAGTGTCATAACTTATATACAAATAAATACAGTGTAAGAAATTCAAATTTCAAACCACTAGGCTGGTCAGACTACCAGATTCAAATATTCACAAGCCCAAAAGACATTTCACTAGCATAATTTATTTGTTCAAAACAGTTGTTTATATTGCCTCTGAAAATACAGTAGCCTTGTCGGGCTTGTTACTATGAAAAGTTGGTAGCCCGGGGAGAAATGTAGTAGTCAGGGGCTATCGGACTACTGCTAATTTCGAACACTGTAAATATAACTAATTAACATAGTTATTAGTATAACATTAAAGTCAACAATTTATTATTTAAGTAACAAATTGATCAAAAATATCATTTTCACATAAAAGTGTTACGAAATTTTTTGGAAAAGTTGTAATTTCTATTAATTTCAGAAATAACTTTATTATACAAAATACCATTTTCTTGAAGAGTCTGGACTGAGGGCTGATTTTCAGCAGTTGTAAAATATCTTCATTTGATAACATCTGTAAATTCATAGAAAAGATGAAGATAATATAATTCTCACCTGTCAAAATATGAGAACAAACTCCACTTTTGGTTAAAAATTATATATTCTGTATTCTATCTAATCTGTAAATACTGCACATTGAAAAAGACAACTTAAAAACCCTTTACACAATATCAGTACCACACTTGACTTGTTCAAAGGAATAAAGAAAAGAAAAACAACAATAAAGTAATTAATGATCTTATCAACTATTAATGATCTTTGGCCTTAATGCACAAGATACTGAATAAATAAGAGAATGAAGACCAGTCTGACAAGTGAAACTCAACCATTGGTGAATTTCAAATCTGTAGGTTAAAATCAGCCAATCAGAACACTGTTTGAGACTGGTGCTTCTCAGGCAGAACAGAACCAAACCTTACTGTCTGGATCAGTGCAATATTTTCATTAAATATTTATGAGCATCCACATACAGGTACATGTATACATGTATCAATTAAAGGGCCATATGCTCAAACTATCAATAATTTATGGAAATCAATAACTCTGATATTAATCAAAAGATTGATCATGAAAAATTAAAACAGCAAATCAGTTTACCTTTGACTTCTCAATACCACACTCTGGAAGGAACACACTGAATGTGTAGTCATATTTACAGCTGTGAAGATGATCAGCAACCAGCGAGTTTGAGGCACGATGTATCAACGAGCCAGACTCTGGCACTTCTAAATCTTCTATTGACAATTTACCATGCACTGACCTTTTCAGCTCACTGACTAGACTTGTTCTTAGCTGACTCTGAAATTAACGCAACAACAGAATTACTAACTACATATAGTTTGTTTAAAGGAACTCAACTGAGGTCCAAAAGCTTAAAAACATTAAATTTGGAAATCTTTCCTATCAACTGAGGAACTTAAAACAGAAAAATATGAAAGAGATAATAAAGAAATACATCCAGAATTAAATTGAAAATCAATATTAAATGCAATCTTTCACCTGACTTGAGTAAAAATCATTTAAACACTTTTTATTTTAGGTCACAAATAATAATTCTGGAAACAAAGAGTGAGCAATAATCTGAACTTTAGCACACAAGTTATTGGTATAGACCTACTGATATCAAATGGTATAAATATCAGGAATCTTTCCAGTCTGATCTTGTCAAAAAAACTCATTTATTTAAGATATAAATAAGGGTGAAGTTAATAAGAATAAACAGAAACCAATTTATTACTTGAGATTTATGTAATCTGGACACAATGCAACCACAAGACAATTTTAAAAGTTGATTGATATTTTCATTTCTTCTTATACCAAGTTTTCTTAAAAGATAAATACTGGCAACTTTAAATATCTTTTCCTCTTAAAAACACATTCATTCTCTCAGCAACATAACAGGTTTTCCCATAAAAAGTGTCTTGTATATGTCACAGGTTTATGCAGCATCTGATTATGTATTTTATTAATTTTCAGAAAAAAGAACACCATAAAGCGTCAAAAAATGAGTACTGTATAGCTTGAATTATTAGTACAATACTTATCATATCATTTACAAAGTGCTATGTGCTAACTTGTAGCTGGGTTCAGAAAATCTGGGTATTAAACTGTAAAATCCAACCTGTTTACTTAATGAGTAGTGCTTAAGAAATTGCGAAAACTGACTGAGTAAAAATTTCAAAAGATTGCCATTATTCATATCAACAGCTAGGTTTGAAAGTCTGCCTAGTATTCTAATTGATGTGCGACTTCATGTCAAATTGTGAGCTAAATAAATGTTTGGTAGGACATACGTCATCTGAAAACTACACAAGTTTAAAGATCCTGTATGCTTTGTGATTGTTATTATTACTGTGTGAATACCACACTTGCAAAACTTATATATGTAAATAATTATGCAAATAAAACAATTTTCAAACATCAAAGGATATGTAAAATGTGTACTGCAAATATTTGTGCACATTATATTTAATCAATAAATTACATGCATTCTTTTCTTATTGGAAAATTTGACTTAGAATTTATGGAAAATAAATGTCTAATTACCTCCCTTTATTTACATGAAATGTTATATTGGGTAATATCTTCATAAATAATGCTTATTTGAACTCACAATATTGACAAATCTTAATTTGAGCATCATCTTTATGAAATAAAACCATGAAAAAAATGTGTTACAGGATCTTTAAGTTGACACTCAATTCAACAATTTAATCCAATCAAAATGTGAAAATGAACAGGTGTAAATCTGTTTTAACCCTACAGTCCATCTGATTGCCAAATTACTTCATAATATTGAATGTTGATGTAATAAAATTATCAAGCAAAAAATATTCTTATTATAATGTAAAAATTTACTCAAGATTTTGAAACATATATTGATCAGAAAATAATCCAGGTAACATTTACATGTAGTAGTGTGAATACCTATGTAACATCTTGATGATGCCACAGGGTGAAATGGGGTAAACTGAGAATGACAGTAAGCTGAGAGACAGTCATGGTTGATATGTTCATATGCTCTGTTCTTTTAACTGTTATTTCCAGAATAATTGAAAGTTTATGAACTTTTAGATATTGAATTTATTTAAAAAATGCACAAATTGTATTTTATGTATGTTTGATATTTGTTGCGCAGGTGCAATTTTTCCAAATATGAGTTACGAATCGACCAGAGAAAAGCATATCATCATCAATATATATTGAAAATGTGCATAATAATTACACCTATGTTCATTGTGAAAGAGTTAAATTTTGTGATGATGAAGTCTTTCCTGCTTTAATTCTTAACATATTTCTATTATTTAGAAACAATGTTTAAAACTCAACCAAGGTAAACCTGACAAGGGATGAGCGTTTCGAACCGATAAAAGGTCAACTAGGCCCTATATCAACTCAGCCCTCTATTAAAAACTTGTTAGGATAGAGATTGTTTAGTTTATAAAAAAATTAAGGAGTAAATTACTATAAAAGAATTCAGAGGTATGATCATTAACAAACAGAAATTGAAAAAGTTGGCAGTGTACATGCACATATTATTTGAAATTATCTTTGTTAAGAAGAGATATCAAGACAATAAATGTTAAATATTGATCTTTAAATTGAATTTTTATGACAATAAATGTAATTGTATTTAACACTGTTTGTTCTTTACAACCAATGCTGTTTGAACGATATATTGTACAAAAAACAACATCTGAAGTAGGCAAAACGTGCATATAAATTGTAAATTCTTCCATCTCTACAAATTCACATACTAATTGGTACTTTCATCTATAAAACTATTCAATAACTGTGAGAAGAGGTCTGCTAAGTACTGTGAAAAAGTTAAACAATGATAGTTATGAAAACATATAAAAAGTAATAAAAGTAATCATTACCAGTACTTAATTATGGGCCAAGTTGACCCGTCCCGAGTTGGGATATGGCCCAGCTGACTCGCAGCCAAGTACGTTTTAGGGCTGAGCTCACCCTGATTATTTCGAACCCCGATACAATTTTTCGAACAAACTTTGGAAACTGTCTCTGGTATAAATGGGGCCAATTGACTAGTGGTTGTTACTTTTTAATGAGTTGACTTGACTGCAGACTGAGTAAACCTGGAGTGACTTGCTTCCAATTTCCAAATGGAAATGCACTTGACTTGTCCATTTAATTTTTGCAAAAAAACAACATGTTGAAACATGTCCATCAACTAAATTTATAAAGTTTCTTGAGAAAATACAGATAGAGGTGGGTATCAGAATTCTAATGTAAATGAATTATGACACGTTCATAAATATATGCTTGCATGATGAGAATTAAATACAAAAGATTAGACGTCCAAAATATATAAACAATAAAAACCTTCATTGAATTGACAAGTCCCTTGTCACGAAGACTGTGGTAAAGGCGATTTCTCAGCTCCTCCGCTGACATATACTCCTCTCCTTTCTTTGACATTGTGTTATCTAGTCACAAATACTCCTGCAGCAAATGCCAAACGATTTTTTCTAAATTCCTCAGGAAAATAAAATAAAAATTTGAAAAATTCAGATAAAATTTGTTTACATGTTACACCGGTGAATCGCACAGAATAAATTTAGGCCATTTGATTGGTCAAAAATCGAATGTCTATTTTCCGTGACAGAACGTAACCTGCAAAAAAGTCCGCGAAATTTTTTAGATAAAATCCAGAGAAGGGAAAACGGGATATACCATAAAAACTTTTTTGTATCATATATAAAACAATATTCAGATTTCTCAACAATTTTGCTCCATTTCTATTAAAATTTGTAATTTTTAAAAGGTGCTTCGTTTCTTAAACCAATCCATACTGGTACCTCGAATGTACGGCAACTTGAGACATAAATAAAATCCTAGTGGAAACTTAGTAAAACAAGCATGATGATTCACTCACCATTTGTATTTAAACTGCATGCACATATATTAATATAGATTAAGACCCAATTTAAATTTGCCTAGATTCAAGACTCAAAGTAAACCAGGCCAGAGCAACCAATACCAGTCGAACATTATATTGCTTTTATCAGGTACGTAAATTAACATATATTAACACACATATATATATATATACCTGCTTTTATCATTCATCATCCTTAACAATAAGTTGTTTGTTTTTTTAGTCGGTATTAAATAAGCAAAATAAATATCTCCTAAGTAGAGGTTTTTTAAAAGCCTATCTTTTATATAAATTTAAGTTGCATAAGCTAATAATCATGTTTACCTGAGTCTTTCAAGTAGATTCTTTGTGAAAGACCCTGTGTTTACAGACAGAATAGATTGTTTGCTGATATCAATATAAAATTAATTCCATTAAATTGATAGTTTTACCATATGACCTGCTGGGCTTTATATCTGCACATGTCATTCCTGATTATACTGCATATTGAATCATTAGATGTATTGCTAAATCACATGACATATTTTACAGTTGTTGGTATTAAGGTAATATGTGAGGATAGAGAAATGGGTCCGATCAAAATTACAGAACGGTTAATCCATGTGCATAAATAAGTTGAAAGTGAAAATTTTGTTATATATTTTATAAATTTATTCATGAAAATATAAAATGCCTCTAAAAGTTTGCAGGAAAAAATCAAAATCAGTTTCTTTTTACATTATTAATCTGTAATGATACAGTCATATAATTAAAGATAATTTAGCTTTAAGATTAGTATGAGCCCGAGTGTTGTCCAGAGTGTACAATATCGACACAATGTATATTTTCTTTTTTTTCAACGGAGTCAATTAACACTAAATGTATCACAATTAAGTGAAATTATATATATGTATATAATTATGCTTATAAAACAATTTTCAACATCGAAAAATATGTAAAATATGTACTTCAAATATTTGTACATATTATATATGTAAGCATTAAAATATATGCCTTCATTTTTGAAAAATTTGACTTAGACTTTATAGAAAATATTTTTTATTACCTCCCCTTATTTACATGAAATGTTAAATTCGGTGATAATGCTTTTTGGAACTTACAAAATTGAAAAATCTTAATTTGAGCATCATATTTATGATATAAAACCATAAGAAAATGTGTTACAGGATCTTTGATCAAACTATCTTTGTGAACATCCAAGACGCTGCATAAATTATATAATATACAATGTATATGTAAAAAAAGTTCTCTGAGTATGTGATTTTCAAAGTATAGCAATATTTTCTCGCGCATTTATTTCTGATGCATGTACTAATGTATTAGCCACAATTACTTACCAAAAAAGATGCTCAAATACGGCATTTAGAAAGAATTATGATGTACGTATTTATACGTGCACATTAAACTCTTTGCAGCGTTTTTGTTTTGTTTTATTTCCGACTTCATTCTGGCAGAGGGAACCCAATTGGTTAGATATAAACAATGCTTGTCTTGCATTCCATTGATTCTTAATACAATGGCGATCTTTATGATAAGTCTGTTCCAAAGAGATTAGTGACAAAATCCCTACAAAAGGAGGTGACAAAAGTCAAACGGGCAATTTCATTTATCATATAAGTTTTGTTAAGATACTAACTAAATGTTAACCCTTTACCTCATATATATGCGAAACAACGCACTTTCGACCCCGCCCTTTTTAGGCCTCAAATAGTAAAAAATGTCCTGTTTGAGCCCCAAACACAGGTTTTCGTTTGAGAAATGCTGATAAAAAAGTGACCACTTTTTCGGCGCGCTCCCCCCGCCCCATCAAAAGAAAATTTTGGACTTGTGAGAGGCTAAAAATGACCCCAGATCGATCATAAGGTAACGTGTAACCAACGCTGGAAAGCATTTGACTCTATCTCAATCCATTGGGAAGTTGCAGCACTTTGAAATAAATTTTGATGGAAAAAATCAACGCAAAATAGTGATTTTTGGCAATTTTGAGATGTCCCCTCGTTGTCATGGTAACAGGAAATTTAAGCCAGATCATGTTGTCACAAAGGCAATGGTCCAGTCAATATTTGTGCCAAGTGTGATTAGTATTGAAGAATTTTTCATAGTTTTATAGCAATTTGAACTTGTAACGCGAGACTTTTCAATGAAAACAGCCATTTTTCACAAAATGCTCATGACGTAATGGGTTAAGACCCAATATATTTTAACTGTCAAATTTGGTAGGGAACATATGGTTATATTACCGAGGATATGGACCGAGCTTGGTACTAAAATTCCTCCATATTTCTCAATCTATATCACCATAAAATATATTGTTGATTAACATAAATTTAAACAATGACGATAAAATGCATGAAATAGCAAAGTAAACTGTATAAGATAATTAAATGTCACTTTATAAGTAGAAATCTTTTATAATAAAACTGAAAACTATATGAAACAAAACAGAAAACTTTATGTTTAAAAATATTTACTTTAGTAATTCTGTAACGCTTGTATTCACAAATTTTTGTATTAAATTGATCTAGATTATTGATAAACATCTGACACAGAGACATTTCAAATTTTACGCCGAGGCCAATCGGGTTTGATTTTAACTTTCTTTCAACCCCCACTGTAGGAGGGGCTTGTTAATCAAGAGCTATAAAAATTGATAGCCAAATGAAAATACTAAGAGATGGAACATTTTGACGATAACTGCTAAATCTAAAAAAAAGTCATTTGAATAGTTTCATTGATACAGTTTAGTATTATGTTTATTGACATTTAAATATCTTTCTTTACAACGTAAATTTTGAATAGGAAAAAGACGGTATGGACTTATAAAATCATATACTGTCACAAAGCGAAAGATGAAAAATATTCGACCAGTTATCGTTGTGGTTTTCTTAATCATTGTTGTTTTCCAAAACGCATGTGTCTTGTCTTGTCCAGTAAATTGCAAGTGCAGAGGTAAAGGATCTATGTGTGGATCAGGATCTTTTAGCACTTTTCCGACCGGTCTGGATGGTTCGACAGAGTACCTCGGCGTTTCTGGATCCGAGTCCCAACCGAACAATATCACTACAATACAGCAAGCAAATTTTCAAGAAACCCGAAGCCTCTTTTCATTAGCAATTACTTTTAGCGGTGTGCGAAGAGTTGAAGATGATGCATTTTCCTTTCTCCAAAATCTGCATATTTTGAATTTGGCGAATAATGACATTCGAAATATGTCAGCGAATTCTTTCAAAGGATTAACAAAATTAGTTTCTTTGGATTTGTCAGGCAACAAGAACTGTGACTTAAGTAAATCTTTATTTACCTATATTGGTTCGGTTGAGGACTTAAATCTAGGAGATATGAACCTTAAAGTCCTGGAGAGCGATTTATTTGACTATGTTCCGGGATTGAAAAAGTTAAGATTGTACACGAATGGCCTGAAAAAAATTCCTACGGATGTCATTTCACCACTCCTGCATTTGGAATTCTTAGATATCATTTCGAATAAATTAACAGGACTTCAAAGTGAGTTAAAACCGGCTTTTACGAAACTGAGACAGCTGAATCTCGAAGAAAATCCTTGGCAGTGCAATTGTCAGATGCAATGGTTACGCGGCCTTCCGGCGTCTATGAAAATCAGCGTCACTGACCTGAAAGATATCATCTGTCATGGACCAGACAATTTGAAATATTTCTCTTTCAACAATATTGCTGACAACATGCTTCGGTGTATTCCATTCAAAATTAGGAACTGTGGAAATGTTAACCATTCCATTGAAGAAAACAAGTTGATTTCTCTGCCATGTGTGTTTGAAGGTGACCCTTCACCGGAAATAAAATGGACCCGACCAGATGGTCATGAAATCGTTGGAAGGGAAACTATTGCAGGAAATTACGAGATATTCAGAAATGGAACGCTACTTATTCACCACGTGACCGCAAATGACAACGGAGACTGGACAGTTTCTGCATTTAACAAAACAACACACGTTGAAAAACATATCAAAATCAATGTCATTTTACACTCGACATCAACGGTCCTGCCAGCTTCAACAAAGTTAGCTTCAACGGTATCAAGGCCTACCGCGGCAACGAAGTCTGCAACGTCGCGATCGTCCGCTAACACGTCGTCTGCTAACACGTCGTCTGCTAACACGTCGTCTGCTCGTGTATCTGCTACCACACCACGTCCAAAATCGGGATCATCGTCACTATCTTGCAACGTGCATGGTAAAATAATACTGTGCATGTTCTTTATCTTCGTGATGACATTATTCAAACAAATGTGATATACAAATCTAACTGAAGTGAGCACAGGCACGAGTATCGGACCTGGGAAGAAAAAATATGACCAGATTGATAATAAAACCTGTGTTCATCTTAAAAGTGTCAAAAGCCAAAAAAAAAAAAATTGTAATTAATGACCTCGTTTAAAAATATACTATAAGTTAAGAGAAGGCCAGAAAGTCCTGATTCGAGCCTACGAGCAAGGGGTTCATTTCACGGGCCGTTGTGAAAATAATTGTCCATACAATTAAAAAAAACATTTATCACTATTTCGTGTTTGAATTAAGCTTCCAAATGAGACCAACCCAAGTCTCTAGCCTTTCCCGTTCATGAAATATCTATCAGGAAACGAGCGAATTCGTGCTAAAAATCCTTGGTAGACAAAATTGCGGCACAACAATTCGGTACGTAAACAGGTAAACATAGACTAATACATGTTTGTCAGCTGAGTACGGGTCAAAATCACTTGAATTTATTAAATAATATTACTTAATTCATTAAATGAGACCACTCACAACTGTCAGTAGCATCCGATACACACGATATTCGAGTTTCAAACATTTTCACGGTCTTTCTATGGCTTTCTACGCCATTAGGCATCCTTGTGTGAAACGTTGCGGTTTTCGTTGCTATTGGCCAATCAGAAGACTCGTTACAAAATATCGAACAGCTGATTGACAATGGCGTAGAAAGGAATCTAAAGACCGTGGAAAGGTTTGAAATTCGAACTTTGCGTGTATCAGATGCTAATGACGGTTGTGAGTGGTCCAACTTAATGTATTTAGTAATATTATTTAGTAAATTCAAGTGATTTTGACCCGTACTCAGCTGGCATACATGTATTAGTCTATGTTTACGTACCGAATCGTTGTGCCGCAATTCTGTCTACCAAGGATTTTTAGCACGAATTCGCTCGTTTCCGGATAGATATTTCATGAACGGGTAGGGCTAGAGACTTGGGGTTGGTCTCATTTTGAAGCTTAATACAAACGTGAAATAGTGAAAAAAGTTTTTTTTAATTGTCTTGCCAATTGTTTTCACAACGGCCCGGGAAATGAACCCCTTGCTCGTAGGCTCGAATCTGGAGTTTCCGGCCTTCTCTTAACTTATAGTATATTTTTAAACGAGGTCATTATTTACATTTTTTTTTTGGTTTTTGACACTTTTAAGATGAACACAGGTTTTATTATCAATCTGGCCATATTTTTTCTTCCCAGGTCCGATACTCGTGCCTGTGGAAGTGAGGCGTTTGGACAACATCTGCGTCCATTTAAACCGTTGTCGTATTTATACATTTTCTGCATTGCTAGACTTTTCTGTTACTGTACAATATACACGTATTACATGTATGTACATACATATGAAACGGAAAGCAAATTATAAAGTTTTATTTCTGTTTTATTTCAAATATATGAACAAATTAATAGATCAATTGCTAGTGGAAGCAGATGAGAAAGATTTAATTAGCTTTTTATTTATTCAGTTGTGAACAAATCTATAAAATGAATGTTCTAGATGGTTTGGCAGAAAATGGATACAATGTGTACATAATTATGATAATATATTGTTAACATACATTTTAGACAAACGCATTTGAACTGTAAATTTTAATGTATCTTTAATCTCAGTTTTTCATATCTATCAATATCTGAGTTTGTTTTATCCACATTACATTGTAATATCATTTTATACTAAAAAATCTTTAGTAAATGAGGCATTCACAAAATTATAATAGAACAGAACAGAACATATTTTTTATTTTGAATTAAGCATATACAGCTCATCTTCATATACAACAAATATATACATGCATGAATATGAAAAATGGTAAACGCATATCAATAAATGAAATAAACTAGTGAGAATGTAATACAACACATATAATATATACAATCCATATATAACTTTAAACAATACAACAAGGTGGTATTATATAGCATTATCCGGCATTCAATGAATCAAATCTTAATTTAAAAGCTTTGTTACAATATATAGCTAATTTTGTTAACACTGACTTCCTTTCTGAATTCAGCAATTCTAAAAATCTAAACATGCTAGGGTATCTTGTATCTTGTAAAATAGTTGTATATACAATGTTTCCTAAGAGAATCATACAAAGTACAAATCAATACAAAGTGATATTCATCTTCGATGTCATTATTGTTGCAAATAGTACATTTCCAGTCATTTCTATCAATATTATTGTGTCTACCTGTTTCTATGAATAAATTGTGAGATGATAATCTAAGTTTAGCTAATATATTTCTTAATTTCATAGAGTCAGCAATATCCAGGTATTTAGACCTGTTAAAATCGGTTTTGATATGTTTATACAAATACAAAGAAGAACAAATATGTACACTAGAATGTTAATTTGTGATATAAATATCTTTTAAACGACCATGTAGGACTGGTATAAATATATTTAGCTTAACTGATTCTGGATACATCTACACATCATTAAATCCAGCACTTTGCAAAAGTGTTTTGACTTTAGACAACCAATTTACAGTATTAGACTTTGACTCTATCTCCAATCTCTGACAATTAACAATATAATTTAATATGCAATTACTTGTTTTATTTTGATATATTTTTATAAAATATTTAACAATTCTTACATGACGTGAAATATATAATGGAAATCGGCCTACTTCTGCAAACAATGAAAGAGTATTTGTTGACATTTTCACATTAAGCAACCATTTACAGAACTTCCTATGTACAATTTCCAAATTTTCCGATGGTAGGCTACCCCATACCTCGCAACTATAATTTAGAATTGGTAGAACATATGCATCAAACAGGTTGAACATAATATCAATGGGAACTTGCTTATCTCTTGTTACATTAAGTAATGAGCTGTATGTTTATTTTATTATACACAACAGGTTTAAGTAAAAATTGTAAAAGACGATAGACATATTAATATAACAATCAAAGAATTAAATATATCTCAAATTTGTTAGTTGCTAGGCTTACCCTATAACTGACGGATTATAAGTATAATATGTTGAACTAAATATGCCAGTCAAGCATTGCCCTGGCACGAAGAGGGTATTTTATAAAGTGAGTTATTGAAACGAATTGATTAGAAACAACAATCACTGTGATAAGTACCCGTATGTCAAATGGTTTTATTTCCTTATAGTTAAATCAAACAAGAACGCAAGTAAGATAATAAATTGATTATAAACTACATATGCATAATAATCGTTTAGTTTTGTATTCGAATTTCGAATTTAGCAGAGAACAACAAGTTTTAGACTTACTAACTTTACATATGTAAAAGAATTGTGCCTGAGTTACTCATACATTTTTAATTTCATATGGAAATTTACTGAAAGGTGTCATGTATTGGTAATAATTGCGCAATTCTGAAATAATATATCCCACCCCTATAACTTTCCGTTGCTTAAAACCGAACTGGAAAATGACATTAAGCACACGACATATATAAGTTTTAAACATAATTTATTAAAATAAATGACAAATTTCTTTACTTCCAATCGAACCATGGTGTCAGGTAATCAATTCTTTTCTAACCGATGACATCGATTCCACTGAAATAAAAAAGTATATGTTTGTATTTCTTTAATGAATATTATAGTTTTATGCATACATTTGTTCAAAACCTGCTCGAACTTTCATAAACAAAATGGCATATTTATTATCATTTGATTTGAGGAGCTAAATAGCTTGCCTGTAATAGCTAAAGAAATCGACAATATTGTTCACTTCCATTTTGATTTTGACACATCTGTAATAATTATGTTAAAACATTTACAATCACTTATCAAAGAACTATTCCGTAGCATGCAATTTTTTCGAATGATTAAGTGCCAAGCTGAGATAATATGTACAGAAACACATAATCCATTAAACTGCTGGAGGCAAATGAGTCTACACATGCGACCAGTGCAGACCAAGATCCATACTGTCCAATCTGGTCTGCACTTTTCGCCATTCAGTCTTTACACTTATTTTGAAACTTTTCCTAAAATAATGAATCATTTTGTTTATACTGAAATATGGACAAGTCCATTAACAATACGTATACATACGTATGTATGTATAGGTTAGTGTTTATAAGTAAGTATTCATAAAATTATATTGGTCAAGAACGCTGCTCGACCAATTTACTTTAGTAAATGCTTACTAGATCTAATAAAAACTAATCAATAAAGTAAAATAGAATGAAATTATATTTATAAATAACAGACTTATTAATTTTAGCCGATTTACCAAAGTAAATGTGTTATAATTCATTTGAAATACTGCAATTAATAATTCCAAACTTAAAGCTTGACCAGGGTTCAGCAGTGTATGCCGTTTATGAATTACGATGAAATATTTATGCTTAACCATCAGAATAAATGAGCCGTGTCATGACAAAACCAACATAGTGGGTTTGCGACCAGCATGGATCCAGACCAGCCTGCGCATCCGCGCAGTCTGATCAGGATCCATGCTGTTCGCTATCAGTTTCTCTACTTGTAATAGAGTTGGTAAGTGAACAGAATGGATCCTGATCAGACTGCGCGGATGCGCAGGCTGGTCTGGATCCATAATGGTCGCAAACCCATTACGTTGGGTTTGTCGTGACGCGGCTCAAATGTTTTGTACCAAACAATTTAATACACTCAACCTACACATTTTGTTTCTCACAGACATAAAATTTTCGCGTCGTACACGTGACGTCATTCCATTTGCCATTGGTGTGCATATCGACGCAGTTTTCCAAATGTCCATGGAATACTGACGTTGGTTCGTTGTTATCCCAATTAGTGTACGTTATAGGTGTCATGCTTGTCATCCAGACCCATCTATTCTCCTCCACTATGTCACTCAAGCTTATCCAGTATTCGCCTATTTGAAAGAAGAAATATTTTAATGTTGGTAAAAAAAACAGGAGAAACAGATATAAACAGAAATAATAAAAAATATATAAACAGAAATTCAAAAAGCAATGGATTTCCGTATGCTTATAAAAATAAGGGTGACGAGTAAACAAATAAGGAGAAATTTACAACATCACTTTTTAGTCCTACGCATTCACCCAAGATTTCAAGTTTTTACGACAAGTTGACACAAAAATAGCCATTTATACGAGTATAACGTTAATGCTGAGAATTGTACTTATACTATTTAAATTGTTAAATGCAATTGTTTGTAAAAACAATATCAGACGTCTCACATTTTTCTTAAATAAAGAAGAAAAGTAAAGTTATATCCACGTGTTGTTGATTTTTTTCCTACACTTTTATTTTAATTTCTCAAAAGCTTTTATATTTGTTGTCCTGTTTTAAGTTTTCCAAAAAAAGTTATTCATTGGCAAGTAACCTGAATAATATTTTGGGTCTGTTGTTTTCAGAGAATTAGTACCTTTATAGTGATTTAGTATTTTGTATGAAAGTCAAAATACTACATTTTGTGTACTTTGTTTTGCTATACTTTAATGACAAATAATTTAACATATAGATCTACTTTCTTCAGGTAATAAGCAACTTACATGCTCTAAAACCGTTAATTAAACATTATTAAACTCAGGTTTGCCCTTTTAAAGAAGGATAAAATCGTTCCTTTCTTAGGCATAATGTGCCTTTTAATAAAGCATGAAATTTGCTTACGTCCAGTAGATGCTATAACAGATGTTATGTAGCTATTTTCAAACTCATCCTCAATCTCTACCAACTGACCACCAATAATTCGACACATTTCCTAAAACAAAAAGACAAACAATCAATCAAATATATCATTGATCGATTTTCAATACTGGTTATTGAGTTTAGAAGAAAGTAGTTTGGTAAGATACAAGTGAAAATACGGAAAATATGTTTCACTATAGTGAAAAATAAATTTTTACAGTGAAAAATAAATTTTTACAGTGAAAATACAGAAAATGAAAATACGCATTTTATTTCATCAAGATTTCTCAATATTTCAGTTATAAGTATACATTGAAAAATACCACATTGTGTCATGACTGCAATTATTGTCAGATGTCATGTTTGGAATACAGTGTCATAGAACGATCTGTGAAGGTTTTTTTTATTCTAAACTTACAAAAGCTCCTGTCCAGTATTCTTCATCATGACTAAAGAAATAGCAAGACTGACCGTGTTCGCGCCATCCACTAGGACATTCCGACACTGAAAACAAGAAGTATCTTTAAAAAAGATACTCGGCCGAAGTCAAACTTGTTAATTTGCATAGGATAAGCTACTACTAACCATGCTAACCGCAAACAGAACATTTTATTTGTCCTCAATAGTTTTATTTCAGTTCATTTTTACCCGCAATTTTTTCCCCCATTAATTGTCATCTTAGATTTAAACAATATCATTTACATTATTTGATTTTAATCAAAATTGAATTTGATTTGAATAGGAATTTATAATAAAAACAAAGATTCAGTAGATACTGTAAACTAATTCCAAAGAGAATTTGCAACTGTAAATTAGTCGAAAGTTCGTTTCAATCGTTTTATGCCCGGTAAGAGAAGAGAATATAATGACTAGAACAGATTAGAAGAGAAACCCAATCGAACGCAAAAGTATCAAAAAGGCGATCTTTCATATTTAATTTCATATATTTATTGAAAAGCTGTTAGAAACATCTAGAAAAATATCATTATTTTGTTTTTATATTTATTCTTGCATATCAGACTGGCGTTTCCGTTAGTTTTACCCATGCCGGAAATTTCATCTGGCATGGGGGGTTCCAGATGAGTCACGTGCTGTACAATGGCACGATAAAGATGACGTCATTTTACCGTTATGAATGATTTTGTAATTCATACGCTGTTGAATGAAAGTAGTTACGGTTGTAATGATATAAATTTTCATTTAAAATAATGATAAATAATTTAAAATATAATGGAATATGGTAGAATATGCAAGAAAAAATATCTGACATATGTTTGCGGTTCGGATCGGAATATCCGTCCCTCGGTCACCCGCCCATGGGCGGTAACTCGGCAAGCCTCGTTACCGCCCACTGGGCGGGTCACCTCGGGACGGATATTCCGATCCGAACCGCAAAATATGACAGATATTATTATTCTGACATATCTTTTTACAACACTTCTTGCCATCGCACAATCGAACAGACCTATAACGGTAGCTCTTCTAAAGTATCGATCGAACAGGCTATTAATGTTAAAATGACCAATGAATATTCTGCCTATATTCATTCCTTTACTGTTAATTTTAGCGGAAGTCAAGGTGAAACCAAACGGCCTTCGGCCGTAAAAAGACACAAATTAAACGTGCATGGACCTTAATACACGACCGTCATACTGCGATATAATAGCTACATCAAACTAACAAAAAATATCGAATTTCGTATTTCTAATACATCTATGATATTCAAGGAAATAAAGGAAAGGTAAGTTTAATACAGAAACTGTTTTATTGTTCAAACCACATTAGTTTGAATTCATGCTGAAGAAAATACTGGCTTGGCGAAAGAAAAAAGATGTTAAGGACATACAAATACTGTATATTTACAAAACAAATTGAAATATATTTCTATTTTTAAAGTCAAAGTGAAATATATCTTAGAATGATGTTGTTTTTCTTCAAATCACTTTCTTGACATAAATTTGAAACAGTATACATGTATGTGATACACTGTAGGTTCAAATATCAAGTCATGAAATTATTAATTTTTTTTTTCGAATGTAGTGATACATACCGGAAAGTTTGATTAATGCCACAAAAACAAAATATTTAAGCATCATCATAAGATCCAAGTTTAAATGTTATACTATTACACTAGTTGATCGGTTTCATAACTTTACAGACAGATAAGAAAATTTAATACATACTATTGATAAGAATTCGGTCACCGTTACATACGAAAACTAGTTTAGCTTCACGTTGGTAATTTAGTTTCGCTTCCAATTCCAGAAGCTAAAAATCTATATCAAATGCATTCCTATAAGCCCCTTTTCACCATTTTCAGAGTCCAAAATATCTATATCAAATGCATATCGTACTCCATCTAGCCTCGTTTTTTTTCAAATCAAACAAATCATATCACTTCTGTTTTATACATGAAGTAACAAAGTTCTGTCAAATGTCCACATTATACATTGTTATCGCATGGCTGTGAGCTTTTTCTTTGTTCTTTCTAACCCATTATACTCGTTACACTTCCATTAAGGATTTGAAAACTGTATTGATATACAGTATATCAGTACAATTTTTCCACTTCATTCATATAGATATATAACAGTTGAGTTTTTGTGCACCTGCTATATATCCACCGTGCATATCCAGTAACGCAGGAATGCGCCTTTGAACCTCAATATTCACAAAAACGAATTCGTCACACGTGTGAAAAACGCGCTCGAATTCCTGACACGTGTGTGACAAGTTCGTACGCCCCACGCCAAACCCCCACCTCATCCCACCCAATTTCTGTGCATATTGTGAAGGAAAGAAAGGGTTCCTTACTGTACATTTCCGGACCATGATTGAATAGTTTGTGTCCGCTTGCAATTGTGTCACGAGCTTTTTCCCAAATAAAAAGAAACGTACTGTATAGTATTGCGTTTTTGTTACCATAAGGATACAGAACACATTTCTATGGATTAATTCTGTGATAAATCAGCCATAAATAGAGCAGTCCATAAACAATTCCCGCGGAATCTTTACCGAACACAATTGATGTTTTACCGATTCTGTTTTTTAATCGATGCTGCATCCTTTTTGTTGTTTATTACAAGGACCTTCGAATGTGTGAGTTCTGTCTTTGAAGTTCGGCGGTACTTTTGAAAAAGTTCTGGTAGGCGGAGCCAAGGAAAAATGACATTTGGGAGCAAGATCAAAAATGTATCAGTTCAGAGTAGCGCTTCGATAAAAAAGGGTTCACTTTTAAAGAGTAAGTACTTTTTCAAGGGGGTCATTCGATGCGCGCGCATCCCCAAAATTCTGATACCGCGAACACTTTATTAACCGGTATTTTGAACAAAAACGATTCATGTTAAGCAATCAGAATAGATTTGAATTTAATTTCTTTTGCAAAGAAGATGCCCTTACTTCTAGTTTTTGTATTCCAAATGCCATTACACAACTCTTCCCTTTCTCGTCAGCATTTCGCGTTGAATGCGATTTTGATTCTGGATACTGCGTACATCCGGCGTTGAAATGTTACAGAAATTGAGAAATTGTCGATTAAACTTAAAGTTTCAGACAACTGAAAGTTAGTTTATTGTGAAATCTATTTTAAAAAACATATTTTCAATCTGCATTCTTTTTCGTGTGTACGAAAACTGACTTAAAACGCACTATTTACAGAAAATACACATTATGATATTGCGTACACTGTCAAAAAAGATCAAGATACTGCGTACACAGTGATATGTTGTTTGTTGTACAGCCTCAAAAAGATGATTTTTTACTCATTTATGTAACACTTTGTCCTGATAAAATATTTTTACACTACATTTTAAGATTACTAACTTTTTACAGTCAAATCTCATTTTAGAAAATATATGTATGCCGATGATGTGGCGAATTCTTCTCCAGACGACATGAAGGACGACATCGGCAACGTGGTCCTAACTAATGTGACCTTTGCAAACATGTGATTTTTTCCAAAGTATCATTCTTGACATATACGAAGTGTCATACCTCTGAATGCAAGTTATAATGTATTCTCAACCCTGGTGATCCAGCAAAGCAAAGAAGTGATTGTTTCAAAGATTTGTTGAACAGCTGATTATTCAAGGGCACCGTTCTTTTATCTCTTCAGTACAAAATGGTCAGCATTAGTGAATCCTCAGTGTTTTTACGGTATGGTTGATCAAATATCGCTGTCACGTGATTCCTGCAATATGTGAATCAAAATTACTCGTTAACAAGTGTTAGTAAGTTACATAATAGTAATTAAATTGAAACAATACAGGAAGTTTTACAAAAACAGTAAACACATGAAAGTTACCAGTAACTTAACATTTAATAAATATAAAAGTACTATAGACCCATTGCACAATGACATCACAAGCACCTGCTACCAGAATTTAGCAGATTTACCGGTTGGCAAGAAGAACCAATATTTATAAACATTATATAGCAGCAGAATTTTTAAATTCTTATAACTTTTTTATTTGTGGATCGATTTTTTAGATTCTTATATCATTTAAAAGTTCTTTGTATTCATATTTTTAAAATATAAGCGGATTTTCATTTTTTGCTTTTAAAAAATAAAGCTCAGCTATTTTTCTACTGTTATTTCAATAGTTTTCTAGCACCAAGTTTAACTCCTTACCAAGAAAAAATGAAAACGCTTTGTTAATTTATTATTTAATATATAAAATATGAGTAAAACGACCTTTCTAATGATATAAAATACTAAGCTGTTTCATGAAAAATAAGTTTTTTATTATAAATATAAAATTACTATATTTTGCATTTTATCAGCCACCACTTTTTTGCCAACCATCCGAAAGTTACCTGTATCTCTTATCAGCAATTTGTTACTATTAATAGATTTCATAACAATAACATGCAAAGGGCCTATAAGAGAGATTAATAGTTATAAATCATTGATACTGAAACAAATAATTATAGTAGAAAACCAATACCAGTAAAAGTAATAAATAGAAACACCAAAAAAACACTATAAGTGAAGGAATTTTAACTGTTTGACTACGGAAAAAAACAGTAAAGTGACAACAACAGTATAATAACAGTGACTATAATGAACTATAACAGAACATAAACAATAACAGAACAGTAACAGAAACAGAAACTATAACAGTATAGTAACAGGAACTAAAATAAACAGTAACAGTAAAGTAACTACAACAATAACAGGAAAAATAACAGAACGGTAACCATAAAGTTACTATAACAGTATAGTAACAATAACAACAACAGAACAGTAACATTAAGGTAACAGAACAGGAACTGTAATAGAACAGGAACAGTAAATATCTATAACGAAACAGGAATAGTAACGGAACATTAGCCGTAAAAAACAATAACAAAACAGGAACAGTAACAAAACAGGAACAATAACAGAACAGAAACAGTAAATGACTATTACAGAACAGGAACAGTAACAGAACAGGAACTGTAACTTAACAGTAAATAACTATAACAGAACTGAAACAGTAACAGAACAGGAACTGTAACAGAACTTTAACAGTAAATAACTATAATAAAACAGTAACAGTAACAGAGCAGAAACTGTAACATACCAGTAATAGTGAATAACTTTAACAGAATAGAAACAGTGACAGTGAATAACTATAACAGAACAGAGACAATGAATAACTACAACAGAACAGTAACAGTAAATAATTATAACAAAACAGGAACAGTTACTATAACAGAACAATAACAGTAAATAACTATTACAGAACAGTAACAGTAAATAACTATAACAGAACAGTAACTATACCAAAACAGTAACAGGAACAGTAACAGTAACAGAACAGGAACTGTAACAGAACAGTAACAGTAAATAACTATAACAGAACAGGAACAGTAACAGTGAATAACTATAACAGAACAGGAACAGTAACAGAACAGTAACTAGAACAGAACATGAACAGTAACAGTAAATAACTATAACAGAACAGTAACATTAACAGAACAGGAACAGAAACAGAACAGTTACTAGAACAGAACAAGAACAGTAACAGAAAAATAACAGTAAAAATAACAGAACAGGAACAGTAACTGTAGGTAACTATAACAGAACAGTAACAGTAAATAACTATAACAGAACAGTAACAGTATTTAACGATAACAAAACAGGAACAGTAACAGATCAGGAACAGTAAATTACTATAACAGAACAGGAACTGTAACAGAACAGTAACAGTAAATAGCAATAACAGAACAGGAACAGTAAAAGAACAGTAAATAACTATAACAAACAGTAACTCTTACAAAGCAGTAACAGTAATTAACTATAACAGAACAGGAACAGTAACAGAACAGTAACAGTGAAGAACTATATAAAAGTAGGAACAGTAATAAAACAGTAACATTAAATAACTATAACAGAACATGAACAGTAACAGTAACTATAACAAATGGTAACAGGAACAATAACAGAACGGTATCAGTAAAATAACTATAACAGAATGAATGAATGAACAATAATGAAACTTACATTGTATTGAGGATTTGGTAGAATCATACAATTCCAAGATTTTTCACGTTGTTGACATTTTAAGTTCAATTTTCATACACTACTGTCCAATGCAACTGATTGAATTTAACTGTACATAGTCATGATGTACTAACATAAATTTAAGTCAACTATGATTACAATTCAAGTGGGTGAAAATTTGGATTAAGCAGTGCATGCAAAAATAATACCATTAACTCGACGAACCTTTAAGGTGTGAAAGCTATTATCTACACTCTGTCTACACTGGTCCATTTACTGGTATACTCGTATATTTAGCCAGTTAAGTCACAATTCAAAGTCTAATTGTTTATAAAAAGTATTATAGATTGAACACTATTTCCCAGATATTCTTCTTAAAATGTTAAATTATTATCGAATCATGAAACAGTCTGGTCAGTTTTTAATTACAAATAAATTAAATATTGAGGTTGCAAATTATTTGTCTGTGTCGTAATTTTTCTATTATAAAGCTATATCTTACAAAATATCTTTTTATAAAATTTATCAACAGTAAAATTATATTGGTTCCATTATCTTAAGGTCGATTTTCAAAAGCGTCGTTACACAGGATGTCTCTATTATTAACACACGAGTATTGTACGTAAAGAGAACAAAATGTTCCTGAACAAAATATTCTGCTATTTTAAGTTTAGCAATTATCTCGTGCATGCGTCATTCCGCTTTAAGGCAGTTCACAACCATATTTATTTCATAAAAAATGGAAAAATTCTCTTTCTTTACATTCAAACAATATGTTTTGCAGCGGATAAACATGTATAGCTTTACACACTTTAACAATATTACAGTATTGTAAACGCATAAAGATATTCATTATAAAATATAACAAAACTTAACGAAACATATTTTTGACTGTGTATATATGTATATACTGTACACTAATAAACAATATTTTAACAATATAGACTACATATGATGACAAACAGAATCATCCACAGTCACATATGAAACACACATTTTTACAAGAGAAAACTTTTTCAACACTGTTTTCAGTTGAAAAATAGATTTTCAATGCACATCATAATCTTGTAACAATATTTTCAACCCTGTCATGTCAAAAGTCGTAAGTGGAGACCTTTAGCACACTGTCATTATATGTTCCTTCATGTGTTTTACACGCGTATTGTTACATGTTGTGAATGTTTACATGCTTTGTAATGTCTACCTTGTAAAATTTTCGTTAACGGTATTTCCCCTCCTCCCCCCTCCCCCACCTTTTTTCTAAATGATTGATGAACGTTTCAGTTCGACTTATACACACTGTTATATAAATGCAAAGGTGTTGCATAGATCTGTATAAGATATGATATAGTTGGCATTGCTCAAGCTTGAAGAATGTAAGAAAAATTGCAACTTAAAAAAACTTTCAGTTTCTAGCACTTAGTAATTTAAGTTTGTGCAAAGATATTGCACGGTAAATTTCTCAGAATCAAGGATCAATTGTGCCTAACGGTAGATTGGTCATTTAACGACTTCTCATAATTTTTAAGATTCAAGTTTTCAAATATGAAAAAAAAACTTTTGCACATTTCTTTTTATCATAGGTCAAGGGTTAACTCCGCCCCGTTAGGTCAATTGAAACACACTATAGAAACAGTTGACATTGATTTTGATAGGTCAAATGTCCAACTTACTAGACGATAACACTTTTGTTATAATAATAGTAATAGCCTTGTTATATACATTTATGATATTTATTCTTATGTATCACACGTGAGTTGAAGTGTGCTTTCGCTTACAGAGACATATATAGTTTGAGATACAGGTTATTTGTGCTAATTTCCAGAATCACCTGTTTTCGCGAAGTCACATGGCGGGTCGAGGCAGGAAAAAAGATGGAGGGGGCATGAGCCCAAAAGGCGTTTATATAGACGATATGGAGGCTCTTGTTGAGGCAGTGGGGAAGAGGTTAGAAGGTAGTCTTGAAAAACTTCAGGAATCAGTGGATAAATGTGTGTTAGCTGCTGACTTTGTAAAAGTAAAATGTGCTGTTAGAGTTAACCGTTATGAAATTGATAAACTAAATCAGTACTCAAGAAGGGAGAACGTGAGATTATTTGGTTTAGCTATTGATCAGGGAAAATCGCTTACTGAAACGGTAATTTCTATGTTTAATCACATCGCTAGACTTGATGCCAAATGCAAGGACATCGAAACGTCTACAGGGAAACATATGACGAGGAGACATAGCAATGGTAGTGTTGTCGATGAGTCGGAAATAAATTTGAGTGTCTCCAACAACTTAGAAGAAGGATTGGATGAATCTTATACTCCATTCTCTGCTGCAGATATCAGTACCTGTCATCCGATTAAAGGGAAGAAACCGCATCATATTGTTAGATTTGTATCACGTAACAAGCTGATGGTGTTGTTTTCAATAAAGAAACGTTTATCAATCAGCCAAACGTACAAGGGAGTGTTCATATCTGATGATCTAACACCGTTGAGGCTACGTCTAAAGGATTATATCAAGGAATCGGGGAAAGTTTCTAAACTTTACACTCGTGATGGTAACATTCATTGTTTATTCAAGAATAAAGATGAAGTAATCTCTTCACCAGATGATCTTTTTAAGATTGAGTTGCCAATTGACTTTAGAAAACTTGGTCTTGAAGCCTATGAATAGGAATACGCAGAGGCTCAGTCTACTCGTAACCAGTTATGTTTGGGAATAAATGACCCTATTAGTTCAACTTCATTTAATTTTTGTTCTAGTTATAACTTGACCGGTGGTCAAGTCTGTTCAACAAGTAACGATTCCAATAAGTTTATTTCAGTTGATATAGTTTCTAACCAGGGTGATGATGGAAACAAGTTATCTTGTAGTAAAAATGACAACATTAATAAACAGTTATCGCACGTTGATTTTTATTACCATAATAGTGATATAGGGGCATGTAGTATGAACTCAAAATATGACTCTAATCAAGTTAATATGTGTGTATCTGCTGACAAGGATTCTACTTTAAGTAATCATGATGATAAACAGTTACCGAATAACAGTGACTTGGGCCAAGTGAATCAAAATCAGTGGAACAATGATAATTCTAGTCATATAGATCAGTGTTTAATAAATATTCAACCTTGTTCGAGTACAAGTTACTCAAGTCAGTTAAAATCATCACTTGTTAACTCTAGTGATTTAAGTATGCTTAATTCTTTTAATAATTATGATGATATTTCACATGATCATGTATATTGTATGTCTAATATTTCTAATATTACAAAATGTTGTTCTATAAATGTATGTGGGCTTAGATCTAAACTTGTAATTCCAGACTTCATTAATTTTGTTGAAAAATACGATATATTTTTTGTTTCTGAAACTAAATTAGATGCATATGACACTGTTTGTATGAAAGACTATGTTTTCTTTCACAAATTTCGAGATAAATGCCGTAATAAATCGGGGGGAGTGGGAGTTTTTATCAAGAAATCTTTATCCACAAAGTTAACTGTGTTAGATTGTAGCTCTGAGAATTTTTTATTTTTAAAATGCAAAGATTCTGATGTCATCTTTGGAAATGTTTATATTCCTCCTGAAGGATCTCATTATAGCTCTCTTGAATTATTTGATAGCTTAGAAAGTTGTATTATTGATTTGAAAATCAAATTTGCAAACTGTTTATTCTGTATTTTTGGTGATTTCAATGCAAGAACTGGTTCCTTGAGTGATTTTGTTGACTTTGATAAGTATGTAATTAATGAAAATTTTGATGATATTACCATGCAACATATAGTTATGAATAACCTTGATGAACTTGGTTTCCCTGTTGAACGTTTTTCTTGTGAAAGCAAATGTAATAATTATGGCCAGAGACTTATTCAGTTGTGTAAATCTGCAAATATCTTTATTGGTAATGGTAGATGTGGTAATGATGCATATATTGGTAGAAACACATGTAATAAAGGTAATGGTAGCTTGATCGATTATTTGCTTATGTCAGGAATTTTGTTCCCTTGTATATAATATTTTAATGTTTTGCAATTTGATCCAATTTTATCTGATGTGCATTGTGCATTGGAATTTTGTTTTAACTTGAACATTATACCAGATTGTAATGTTATGGATGCAAGTATCAAATCTAAAGATGATGTTTGTTATAGGCCTGTGTGGAGTTCTAATTTAAGTGCTAGTTATAAGCATAAGTTCGATAACACAGCTGTATCAAATTTATTGGATGAGCTTAAAGAGGTTTGTGAAAATCGTCAATTTGATGTAAATGTTGTTAATCATTTGACCGGTAAAGTGTCTGGTATTTTAACCGATGCAGCTGTAAGTTGTGATCTTATAAAGAAAAATGTTAATCATAGGAAGTCTAAGAAAAACAATAAAATTTGGTTTGATAGTGATTGTAAAAATGCTCGTATTCAATATATGAATTATAAAAACATGTATAGCAGGAACCCTACTGCAGAAAATAAAGATAGTTTAGTTTGTAGTAGCCGACAGTATAAAAAAGAAGTTAAGAAAAAGTTTAGAGCATATCAGAAAAGCATTGTTGATAAAATTAAAGGTTTAAAAAATAAAGATCCTAGATCTTATTGGAGTCTATTGAACAAATATTCAGGTGATCGGAAGGAAGTTATTAACAAAGTAACAACTGAGGCTTTTTTTGATCATTTTAGTAAATTGAATGAGGTTGACACTCAAGTTGACATTGATGACTTTGATATAACTAATGTCTCGTCAAATAACTCTGATTTAGATAAACCATTTACTGTATTAGAAATACGTAAAGCTATTATTTCACTGAAAAACAATAAAGCATCATCTTCCTTTGATCATGTATTGAATGAATATCTGAAGAATGTACCCGACAGCATGTTTGATGTGTTTTGTTATTTGTTTAATATTATTTTAGATTCTGGAATTTTTCCTGAAGTTTGGAGTAAAGGGATTATTTTACCAATATACAAAAACAAGGGTAACATAGACGATCCAGATAATTATAGGGGAATTACTATACTTAGTTGTTTTGGGAAACTTTTCACAAATGTTCTTAACTCTAGACTCAATAATTTTTTAGAAAGTAATAATATTCTCTGTGAAGAACAAGCTGGATTTAGGAAAAAGTATAGCACTACTGATCATATATTTTCTCTGAAAACTTTGATTGATTTATATCTGTCTAAAGGTAAAAAGTTATATTGTTCTTTTATTGATTATAGAAAGGCTTTTGATAGCATAAATAGAACTGCACTTTGGCAGAAATTAATTAGCAATAATGTTGATGGTAAATGTATAAAGATCATTTATAACATGTATTTACAAGCTAAATCTTGTGTTAAAATTAATTCTTTTAGTCATATGTCTGATTTTTTTACAAGTCATACAGGCGTTCGTCAGGGTGAAAACTTATCTCCCATATTGTTTTCTTTATTTTTAAATGATTTAAACTATTTCCTGTCACAACATTTTAATGGTCTGGATCTACTATCAAACATTGTAAATGATACCCTGAGTGATTCTGATGTTGAAATGTATTTTAAATTGTATATTCTTTTATATGCTGATGACACTGTCATATTTGCTGAATCTGCTGAAGAACTACAAAAAGCACTAGATGCAATGTCAAATTATTGTCAATTATGGCATTTACAAGTTAATCCTAGTAAAACTAAAATTGTTGTTTTTTGTAAAAGTAAAAGAGGTTTATGTAATATTCCAGCCTTTAGTTTTGAAGGTAATTTGCTAGAAATTGTTGATGATTTTTCATATCTGGGTGTTAAGTTCTCTTATAATGGTAAATTTGCTAAAACAAAGAATCATTTATTAGAACAGGCAAGGAAGGCTATGTTTTCAATTATAGTTAAGGCTAGAAAATTGGATTTGCCTATCAGTATGCAAATTCATTTATTTGATAGCATGGTAGCACCTATATTGTTATATGGTAGCGAAGTGTGGGGAATTGAAAATGTGAATATCATTGATAGATTTCAATTAAAATTTTATAAACTCATATTAAATTTGAAACAAAGTACTCCAAATTGTATGCTTTATGGAGATTTAGGGATATTACCTTTATCTATTCATATAAAAAGTAGAGTTTTGTGTATTTGGAATAAGATTTTAAGTAGCAAACAGGAATCAATAAGCCATATATTGTATGATATGTCACACTCTTTGTATTGTAGAAATGTGTTGAAACTCCCATGGATGAATAGTGTTTGTAAATTACTAGATTCACTGGGTTTATCAAATTTTTGGATTAATAATGTTGCCACTTCTCTTCCATTGTTTAAGAAAATTGTTAAAAATAGACTGAAAGATCAGTTCATTCAAAATTGGCATAGTGAAATGTCACAATCGAGTAAATGTCTGAATTATAGAATGTACAAAAGTGAATTCAGATTTGAAAAGTTTTTAGATATTTTACCATCTCATTTAGCTTTGGTACTATTGCGCTTTAGATGTATGAACCATAAAATGCCTATTGAGTCTGGTAGATTTTGTAATATACCAAGAGAATTAAGAGTGTGTAATTTATGCAATAATAGCTCACTTGGTGATGAATATCATTATTTATTTAATTGTCAATTCTTTAATACTGATAGAAAAAAATATATTACTAGAGAGTATAGTACTAATGTTAATTCAATCAAGTTTTCTATGTTAATGAATAGCACAGATAGGAGTATATTGTTAAAACTTGCAGTATTCTGTAAAAAAATTATTTCAGCATTTAAGTAACTGATAACTAAGCTTATTTTCATAATGTAACACTTTCATTTTTGATTTATATTTGCCATGTAATACATCAGCATATTTCGTGGATATCTCTTTATATGTCATAATATATGTATATATATTTGTATATGTGACTGATGCCTCTATGAGGCCCAGCATTTTCAAATAAACTGTTCAAACTGTTCTCGGATTTAATGATAACTGCGGAGTACTTTAATATACTCGGGGATACACGGATACAGATATCAAATTTGATATCCTGAGTGTTCAATGTTCTCGAGGACACGTGTACACGTGGAGAGATCTGGTCTTGATCATTATGCGCATAAACAAAGTAAATTTATTATTCTAGATGAGAAAGAACGATAGCTAGAAACAACGATAATTAACACATGATGAATAACTGAAGCAATGATACCACGATGTTAAAGACGAAACTACAATGCTATGAACTCAAAACAACGAATCCCCGTTGTTTTGAGCTCTGAACATTTCTTTAATATTTGTATAGAATAACCCATTTATATCCCCAAAAGAAGGGCATATAAAATTTAATTCCCCAAATCACCCTCCATACATGCAATTAAAGAAATGCGTCCAGAAATAAGAAAACAAGCAAAATCGTTAAATTTCTTTCAACCGACGAATGCTGGTCATTATTAACAACAGCAACCGCAGTTCCCAGAACGTTTCCTTGAAATCCAGTCAGCAGTTGCCGAAAAGTAGCGCAAAAATGAATAATGCCATAATTATTCAGGGGTCATAACTCTTTGTTAAAAGGTCCGACAATATCCCTTCCCAATTTAATCGGCGGAGGATAATAATATGACATACATGTACTTTAAAGTTTTCAAATCTTCAAGATTCCAGGCCAGCCAACGGTCAAGTTCAAACATAGATCGGAAGAATTAAACGTTTTAAACGTTTTGTGAAAAGAATTATTGTGTACAAGTTTTAAAGAAATCCATCAAGTAAACAGAAATTACGAGTATGATATTTTTAGTACCTGACCTTTAATATGCTTGTTAAAGGGGTTATTGTGTCCAATATAAAAGAAATCCATTCAATATTTAATGAGGATAAAATATTTATCAAGATATTGAATGTAACTGAATTTCATATTTATGACATATCCCTCAGTCTAAGTGTCCATAATACCATATACATTGGAAACATATCGTGTACTAGTAACAAATGAATAATGCTCAAAACTTCATTTTATCCGCTGTAATTCAGTAATCGAAATTTTGCAATTTTCTCTGCTTAACATGTCCTGTCGTTCTGTATGGGGTTCTTGGCAAACTAAGTAAAAAAAAAGGAAATCCATTGAATTGATATCCCCCGCCGCATGATTCGAAGTTTCTTTGTAGTATGTACCTGAGATATTGATGAACAAAACCTCCATTCTAACACGACCCGCATTTTTCCCTATTGAACAAAGAAGAACAGAAAGTGTGTGTTATTATGCAACAGATGCACAGGTTGACATTCTATATTTAGACATGTGACGTAATCATTAAACACGTGACGTAACCACTAAAAATCCGACGCGCTGAAAATAAGTACGGAAACAAATCAGGCGCAATTTTGCTTAACTATCAAGTACGGCAACATTTATTTGTTGATGTCGTGTTAGAATCGAAATAATATATCCAAATCAGTGATTTAATCGCTTGATAACATCACTGCTTGTCGTTCGGATGCGCATCATTATATCACTCGGGCTACGCCCTCGTGATATAATTCCTCGCACCCGAACTCCAAACAGTGATGTTATTGAGCAATAAAATCACTGTTTGGGATATATTATTTCTTAAACAAAATTGACCAATCTCAAGCAAAATGCCTTTTGATGGTTTATAAATTTTGTTGAAATCCAGTAAGTCGATGACTAAAAATAGTACAAAAATGAATATAACTGTATAGATCTACATACTGCAAAACTAATGAGTGGTATTATCTAATACTTACAATGTACGTTCTTTCATAACATATTCTGTCCATAACATTATATGTGTATATTGTTTATAAATATCCTTAACATGCTTTTTCAGACTTTATTGCGATAACTGCTAAGAAATATGTAAATTATAAGTGAAACCGTCAACTAGCTATAACTATTACTTTAACTGAGAACAACACTGATTCGTTTTGACTGGTACACAATTGAAAATATTTGACAGCTATGTACTCGTCCAATAAAATTCAATATTGTTATAAAAGGGGGCAGGACGTGAAGTGGTTACACACTTGGTCCAAGCGAGAGAATTGGTTGCAAACTTGACAAAATAGCTACCGAGTCATAAAGATTTATAACTCCCGAACGTATTTTGTGTAAGTGTATTTTGAATGTTTTGAAAATTTCCTTAAGGAAATGTTTATGACACACTCGGTTTTAGGTTTTCAGCTTTCAAACTTCTGATTTGACGTTGAAGTTATTGAAGATATAAACTGGTCATGATTTAACACGTGGCTTTTCTAGTCGGGTTTTCTAGTCATATATTTATATCTGTAAGGTTGGAACAAAAGTTTTTGCAACATTATCGTGGGCTCTCCCCGGAATCTTCAAAATTTTAAATGTAGGCTATATTGGAGAAGATACTACTTTTTCATATATAAAATACCCTGATATAACAGACATAAAATTATATGCATACTAGTACAGACAAATTTACAAATAAGCGAAATTGTATTATTTATTTTTCATTTGTTTAATACAGTACGTTTTAAATGCAATATACATGTATAACAGCGATTGTAAATAGTAAGTCGTTAAACATCAGCCAATTATTTCTGAAACCCTGAAATGAGAAAATGTTCACACATATTAGTTATCAAATTGAAGATATAAGTTAAACCAAGAATAAGAAAAATGTTTGAAATATGTAATCACTTATTGACAGTAATTATTTGTAAATGAATTATTAATTGGGCTAATTTACCTAGGGCAATCACCAATTAATTACAGGGGTGGTGTTTCAGAATTAATGTATTTCCATGTATTTTCTTTCATGGTAACCTAAATTATTTAATAAATCATTTACTTTAATTGAAACAAATGTTTACTCTTTTTGTTTGTACAAAATGTTTCAATCTTTAAATCCACTGTAACAGTATTTACTCTTAAGACATTGGAAGTCCCCCGACCTATTGCTTTACGAGAGATATATAGCATCTACAACAGATAAAGAACTATATTGATGGATATAGGAATAAGTGACAAGGGGCACGGTCTTGAGAATAAACAATTTTTTCTAATGCTCGTACATTTTTCGCTCACGAAAATAATGAAATAAGTCTTGTCCACTGTAACGAAACATTGTCATTGCACATGAATCTGTTTGTCATAACTTTTCTCGGACGCCTTTTACGAAGAATAAGAGTTCATATTTTAATACACATTCTTGCGAAAGTGCCTAAATAATAACTTAAAAATCTGGGCCATGAATAGAATATGATTTCCAGAACAAAGTCTATCGCACAGTTGTAAAAGCTCAGGCAATACATGGTCTCTCAGCCTATTCCTATGCATATACCTTAAAAGAACCTTAAAGGTTTCAGTGCCAGTAATAGGGCCAGAAAAGCACCTATTGCCTTGGCTACGGTGAGACACAATAACTGTTAAGAATTTTGACCCGCGTCTCTTTCTGTTTTTGTGACAATAATTGAATACAGCGACAACCAATAGAATTTCAATTGCTTCTTCAAAATGTAATTGATCAGTGCTAATAATACGCTGTAACCATGCTGAACGATTTAATTTGGTCTGAAAACATCATTCATTTCACAGAAAAAAAATATCTTAATACTTATTGCCTTCGTATTCAGAATTCAAATTTTAAAGCGAATTTCTGTTCTTCTTTGGCCGTAGTGTCATGTTACGAGTATTAACGTTTTTCAAACTGCTATAAAAGCTATGTTTTTGGGGGGTTCTTTAACAAAATTTTCGTCAGAATTGTACAGCTAAATAGTTGATCATAAAGATCCTGGTTAATTCGCTCAGCATGCATGATGCGTGTTACAATTTTTCGCCACTGGCATTTAAAGTGTAAAATAGTTATACCTACCCATCTGACTTTTCACAAATATAGAAATTAGTATGAGAACACGGTGAATCGTTCCACATCCCGTTGTTCTTGTAAATGAGCACACAGTTTTCTATTTCTTTGTAGACGTTTAGAGCAGTGGGCTCCCCTGGTGTCCAGTTAGAATAATTCAGTTTTGTCATGCTTGTCATCCAAATCCAGCTACCTTCCTCATTGACATCCGTAAGTCCAATCCAATAGTTTCCTGACAACGAACAAGCATACTTCACATATCTGTTCAATATTGATATTTTTATCCATTAGTTGTTGTAATATGTAACCTGGACCTAATGAAGAGAGTATGTATTGTATGTATTGTATTTGTATTGTATTGTATCGATTTCATCTTAAACATTGCAGTACTGAATTTATATTTTAGAGTCTTAATACTCTTTGTTTTTGTTGAAAAAAGTCATGAATGGCTAAAACTTTGTTAAAGTCTGCGAAATAACTGTTTTAAATTCGCCAGATATCTGTTTTAAATTCGTTTATGTCACCACATTTTCACTTTTCCATTTGCGCAAATTGTGTGCATTGCTACCCTTAAAATTTAAAATGGATGCTCAACAAATTTTCAGTAAAGAAATGTATTTCGTCGAGTACTTAGGACATAATTAGTTAAGTAAATATGTGCCAAAGGTTTGCTTCGATGAGTATGCTTTCATTATAAGTATCTATAACTTACTTCCAGAAATTTTAACTTGGCTGCTTACAAATTGATTCTCTGTTGCTCCATCTATCTCCAACAACTGTCCACCAAGAATTTTACACATAGTCTGAAAAATAGTATATAGCAAGAAACATATATGATATAATTACTTAAACGCCCGGTGATAAAAATGTAATGACTAGAGTTTATATGTAAGTGTTGTGATAACATTAATATCTTTTTTTCTTGTTTGATTCTTATTCTGTGTGAATAATCGGCGGATTTACTATTATTTCAAGAAGTATTTGGCAGACGATACGGACGTGCAGCAGGCCCCGGTATTGTTTTATGCTCATATCTGTCTATTATTATTGTAGGAAGTGATAAAAAGTAAGGACAACGGAACAATAGATTACTCAAGTATGATACTGACATAAGCACCTGTCCAAGATTCAACATCGTGGCTAAAGTGGTAGCAGTTTCCATCGTGGGTCAACCATCCATTAGGACAGGCAGATGCTGTAAACAATAAGGATTTAAGTCTTTCAGGCCCAATTGTACTCAAATTTAGATGTAAAAATCATAGTTGTATGTTAAGATACAATTAAATTGTACTATACTGACCGTGACTAATGCAGTAGTACATGCAAAAACTAAGGTCGAAATCAGTTTAAAGTGATCCTGCATGCAATTGTAATACAGTCGGGTTTTTTTTCAAGGTGACACCTCCTTTCACGTGGTTATAATAAGAGTCATAATAGTTTTCATGGGAGTACTACATATGTACATATAGCTAATGTATTTCAATGTGATTTAGCATTCATTTATTGTGCAAAGATTCGTGGTATAATATTATACGACTATTTTACACTTAACGTATCGGAATCAATGGATGAAAAAATTATTACAATATTGAGGTTTTAAGTTTGTTCGTCCTATTTATGTGAATTAATTACATACGAATAATTACATACAAATAAATATAAAATGAAAGGAAATAAATACGTTTTATAGAGTATAAATAAAAACATTCACCAACAATCTGAATTAAACATCCAAAAATCAGATAAATCTTCATTTTCAGCGTGTTATACACATAAAGATTATTTCATGCTATAAATATCCTAACTATTACATATTCATAAGCTTGCGATTGATAAGGATTTGATAGATAGTAAAGCTATCATTTTCAATGATTTGACTTGAAGTATTTGACACTTAATATAGCATATGTGGCCTAGGTTTTGACCATTGGTTACAAAATTGTTGTGTAGGGACATTGAAACCTATAAATTGAACTTTGATGAAAAATGACGTTAAATAAAATCTGGCACATACATTGTATATATTATTTTGATGATATGTTAAGTCTCCGAAGAACAGAAACATCAGTGTAAAATCTGCGAATGAAATTGTTAAGAAAGTGTGTTGGTATAAACCGCGTAAACTTTGTGTCAAAGAAATGTAATTCAAACGAAATGATTTCTAAATCCATTTGATGCGTTGTTTCCCTTTTCGCTTCTTCAACCTGTTCAATGACTACCAAACATGTTCCCCGACATCGTGGAAATAACGGAGAACCTTGGTTAAAGACATTAGTACAGGAAAAGGTTTTGTCTCTCATTTCTGTATATTTGCATACAAGCTGAATTGATATGTTAGTGTAATTTAAAATGACTTTAAATAATACATAGCTTTTGGAAATGAATAAAACAGATAGTTTTAGATATTTAACACAGGAGACTTAGATTTCCAGTTCCACAGTCTAAAAATTCATATCAAATGCATATTGTACCCAATAAGCCCTTTTTATCATTTTCAGAGTCCAAAATATCTATATCAAATGCATATCGTATCCCATATAGCCTCGTTTTCATTTTCAAAGTCCAAAGTTTATCAATTTCAGAGTCTAAAATATCCATACGAAATGCAAATGGTATCCGATATAGCCTCGTTTCCATTTTCACAAAGAGCCAAAGTATATATATCGAACGCCTATCGTACTCCATCTAGCCTCGTTCTTTCAAATCAAAAAATCTTATCAATTCTTTATTGTACATAAAAAAACAAAGTTCTGTCTAAATGTAAAAAATGAAACAAAGGGATCATTATACAATGTTAAGAACAATACTAATGCTATTCGGCTCGTCCACAGCAGCAAAATCTATATCCGAGAGCTGTGTACTCGTCCAGTACAATTCAATAATCTTATTACAAGAGACATGACGTTAAGTGGTTACACATTTGGTTCAAGCGAGAGAATTGGTTGCGAAATTGACAAAATAGCTACCGAGTCTAGAAAATTTATAACGCCCGAACGTATTTTATCAAGGTAAGTGGGTGTGTATGATATTTTGATTTTTTATATGCCCATTTCAAAAGGAAATATTTATGACACTCGGTTCAAGGTTTCAGCTTCCTAGCTTCTGATTTGACGAAGTTATTGAAGATATCAACTGGTCATGTTCATGACTTTTCTAGTCGTGTTTTTATACTCATATATTCATATCTGTAAGGTTGGACCAAAAGTTTTTGTAACATTATCGAGGGCTGTCCCCTGAATCTTCAAAATTTTAACTGTAGGCTTTATTGGAGAGGATACTCCTTTCTCATATAAAATACCCTGATATATAGCAGACATAAAAGTATATGCATACTAGTACAAACACATTTACAAATAAGTGAAATTGTAATATTTATTTTTCACTTGTTTAATGCAGTATGTATAAATAAAGCATTAATCAGCCAATTATTTCTTGAACCCTGGAAAGAGAAAATGTTCACATATATTAGTTAACAAATTGAAAATTATAAGTTAAATCAAAGATTAGAAAAAAATGTTTGAAATATGTAATCACTCAGTGGCAGTAATAATTTATAAATGAATTATAAATAGCTTCTAATTCTGTTAATTAGGCTTATTTACCTTTGGAAATCAACAATTTTATTGCACGAGTGGTGTTTCAAAATTAATGTATTTCCATAATTATTTACTTTAATCGATTCAACTTATTTTATTCTCTTTTTATTTGTACAAAATGTTTCAATCTTTAAATCCAATGCAAAATTATTTTTTGTTATACTCTTAAGACATTGCAAGTTCCCCTTCCCCTCTGACCCGACCTATTGCTTTACGACAGATGTTCGTACTATCTACAACAGATAAAGAACTTCATTCGGTTGCAAAGCAGCTGAGTCTTTTATATGACATAAAAACATCCCCATTCATCAGCTTTACACTTCAGGACCATTTAAAATATCTCTTGCTTTGTCGCATTTATATTTTCTTCAAATGGATAGAGAATGTTTTCTTATCTCCATACACAAATAATAGACTGTATAACTGTCTGTAGTTTACCGAGATTTAATGTCGTGGAACCAGGCTAAAATCAAATCGTGTGTAAATGTATATTATTTTAAATTTCGGAATTTTTCTTTTTAGATGATTTGGATTGTGTTGTGCGGCTTCAAAAATTTTAATAGCCGCCTTATATATAGTAAAGCGAGATCACGCGTGATTAACTAAATCATACTCGTCATGTCAAAGCATAAAACGAGTACTACTAGTACGACGATACGAAATTTTCGTGTCTCCAAGTTAAGAACCATAATAAAAAAAAAACACTTGTTGACATGACTACGGTACAGACACAAATAAGTCTCTTTCTGTAACCGGATATACAGCGACAACAAATCGTACTTGCTTTCAATTCCTTCTTCAAAATTTAATTGACCAATGCCAATGATATGCTGTAACCATTCTCTACGGTATTTTATTTGGTCTGAAAGCATCATACATTTCGCAGCAAAAATATTATAATACATATTGCCTGAGTATTAAGAGTTCTAATGTTAAAGCGAATTTCAGTACTTCTTTGGCTGTAGTGTCATGTTACGAGTATTGACTTATTTCAAACTGCTATATATGCTATAGTTTTTTTGTTGTTTTTTTTTGTTTTGTTTTTTTTTTGTTGTTGTTGTTGTTGTTGTTTTGTTTTTTTTTTTGTTGTTTTTTTTGTTTATTTTTTTTTTGGGGGGGGGATGAAGTAACAACATTATCGTCAGAATTGTACATCAGAATAGTTGATAATAAAGATCCTGGTCAATTTGCATGGCATTATGCGTGTTACACATTTTTTGCCAGGTTAGATAGTTTAAAACATACCCGTCAGATTTTTTCACAAATATAGAAATTAGTGTGGAGACACGCTAAATCATTCCACATCCCGTTGGTTTTGTAAATCATCACACAGTTTTCTATGTCATGGTTTACGTTTGTAGCAGTGGGCTCCCCTGGTGACCAGTTAGAATAACTCAGTTTTGCCATGCTTGTCATCCAAATCCAGCTACCTTCCTCATTGACATCGGAAAGTCCAATCCAATAGTCTCCTGACAACGAACAAACATACATCATTTATCTGTTTAATATTGATATTTTTGTCCGTTACTACGAGGGTTGTCCAAAAAATTCGTGCACTGCAGTCATTGTCGTGAGAGTTATTGATAGAAAAACATGAATTATATATCACTCGAAGGGGAAATCTGTCTCAAATAAGAAAACAAAAGAAAAAAACGTATAACCCCCGTGTCGTGTAAAAGAATCGTCATACAGTTACCTTGGTAACGCAATACCGGCGCACGACAAAAAATTGGGTTAGTTCATTACTTTGATGCATCACGGTATTCTTTAAACACTTAATATAAACGTCAAAATTCAGGGAAAAGTGTGTGTACGTATTCCTAACGTCACTAGAAAATATAACGTCATTTCCTTTATTGTAACGGTCGTAAACAAACATTTGTGTATGTTCGTCAATACTGTAATTACGTGAAATTGTCAGTCGCTAAACGTCTGGAAATACGTACGATAATTAAATTTTGTGCAAAAATTGGTAAAACACCAACAGATACCTACAAAAAACTTATAAAAGCAAGCGGGACAAGTTTAGTGTCACGAAGGCTGGTTTTACAATGACACAAACACTCTGTAGAAGGACGAGTGTCGGTAGACGATGACAACCGGTCAAGCAAACGTCCGTCCGTAATGCCGGCGCATGTGGCGAGGGTTGTCCAATATATTCGAGCACTGGTGGAATATGTTACATGTACGTTGCACAAGTACAATAAAAAGTACAAAATACTTTGCATCAATCATTCCTCTATTGTCAGTTAAACAAATTTTAACATAAAAAGCAAATGCAACTTTACAAGCAACAAACAACTAATGCAATTACAGTAATGAACTAACCCATTTGTTTGTCGTGCGCCGGTATTACGTTACTAAGGTAACTTAATGACCATTCTTTTACACTACACGCCGGGTACTCGGCTTTTTGTTTTGTTTTCGTATTGGAGACAGATTTCCCCTTCAAGTGATATATAATCCTTTTGTTTTTAATAAATACTCTCACGACAATTATTGCAGTGCACGAATTTTTTGGACAACCCTCGTAGTATTACAAAATATGTAACCTTGACCTAATCAACAGATTATAAATTGTATTGTATTGTATTTATATTGCATATTGTATTCTTATTATTGTATTTTATTATTGTATTTATATTGTATATTGTATCTACATTGTATAATATATTGTATTGTATTGATATCATCTTAAACTTTGCAGTAATTTTATAATTTTATTTTAGAGTCTTATTACACTTTGAGTGGTGGATGGGCTAAAATTGTGTAAAAGTCTGCAAAATACTTGTTTTAAATTCGCGATAATAACTGTTTTGAATTCGTTTACGTCACCACATTTTCGCTTTTCTATTTGCGCAATTGTGTGTCTTGCTAACTTTATAATTTAAAGAAATGTATTTCATCGGGTACTTAAAAAATAAAGTTGGGTATATCAGTGCCAAAGGGTATGATTTTATTATAAGTATCTATAACTTACTTCCAGAAATTTTAACTTGGCTGCTTACAAATTGATTCTCTGCTGCCCCATTTATCTCCAATAACTGTCCCCCAAGAATTTTACACATACTCTGAAAAAGTGTATATAGCAATAATATAATTATATGATATGAACACTGAAACTCTCGGTGTTAAAAATTAATGACAAATGTTTATGTAAGCGCTGTGATTACATTCATTTCATTTTTTCTTGTTTGTTTCTTATTCTTTGTGAATAACCGCCCGATTTCAAATATCAAAAAGAACCTTTATATCAAGAAGAATTTGGCAGACGATACGGACGTGCATGCCTCGGTATTGATCTGTGATGATATCTGTCTATTATCATGAACGGAAGTCATACAAAATAAGAACCACCTAATTAAAGATAAAAGATATTTAGATATAGCGCTCCAGCTGAACTCAAAGGACTGCTGAGCTATAGATTACTAAAGTATGATACTGACATATGCCCCTGTCCAAGATTCAACATCGTGGCTAAAGTGGTAACAGTTTCCATCATGGATCAACCATCCATTTGGACAGGCAGATGCTGAAAATAGTAACGGTTTATGTATTCAGGTCCATTTGTACTCAAATTTTGGACTTGTATGTGAAGATACAATTAAATTATATTATACTTACCGTGACCTATGCTTTAATACAAGCAAACGCTAAAGTCGAAAAACAAATTAAAGTCATTCTGCATGCAATTGTAAGAAAGTCATATAGGTTTTTGTATAGGTTGTCACTTTCTTTCATGTTATTATAATAAGAGTCATGGCAGCTTTATCTAGGAAATGTATCAGAATAAATGGATGAAAAACAACAACAATATTACAATATTGAGGTTTAAGTTTGTTTGTCCTATTATTGTGAATTAATTACATACGAATAATTACATACAATTAGATATAAAGTGAAATGAAACAAATACGTTTTATAGAATAAATAAAAACATTCACCAACAATCTGAATTAGGAATCCAAAAATCAAATAAATCTTCATTTTCAGTATGTTCTACTCATAAAGAATTATTTCATGCTATAAATATCATACGTTTTACATATTCAAAATCTTGACATTGATAAGGATTTAAAAGATAGTGAAGCTATCATTTTCAATGATTTGACTTGAAGAATTTGACACTTAATATAGCATAATTATGTGACCTAGATTTTGATCAGTGTTTACAAAATTGTTGTGTAGGTCAATGAAACTTACAAATTGAACTTTGATGAAAAATGACGTTAAATAAAATCTGGCACATATATATTATTTTGATGATATGTTATGTCCCCGGAAATTAGAACGAGTAAGCATTCACATTTTTAAAAATACATACACTTTTTTCCTTCATCCTAGATACAGATATGAAGTTCAAACTTAATTAAAAGTTTCTGCGACAATATATAAGACCAGTGGTAATAACAAGAATTATATCCATAGCCTTAAAGTTCACAAAATGTATGGAACAGCAACAGATTGCAAACGCCCGTATTCATAGAGGATATTGAATGAGTGTTCGTTTAATACTGAATTTATTAAATGAGTTGAATAAATTCATATTTTGTGGGCCTCTGGCCTCAACGAGTTCAATAAATTTAGTAACGAACTTACATGAATTTAATATTCTATGATCACATACCAAAAATAAAGATCGTTCGAAGTGAAAAAGAACCATTTTTTCATTGACGCGTTTAATGCCATTTTTAAGGAGTCGCAAATGCGGCACGTGAATGTGATAAAGACAATTTATACATTAGGAGTAACAATAACCTCATTATCAAACGTAAAGAACAGACACATCAGAATGTTTATGTGTGTACAATTTGCAAATGAAAGTGTTAAAATATTGTGTTGGTATAAACCGCGTAAACTTTGTGTCAAAGAAATGTAATTCAAACGAAATGATTTCTAAATCCATTTGATGCGTTGTTTCCCTTTTCGCTTCTTTACTCTTTTCAATGACTACCGAACATGATCCCCGACATCGTGGAAATAACGGAGAACCTTGGTTACAGACATTTGTACAGGAAAAGGTTTTGTCTCTCATTTCTGTATATTTGCATCCTTACTTTATCTACAAGCTGAATTGGTATGTTAGTATAGTCTTTAATGGTTTTTAATAATGCATAGCTTTTGGAAATGAATAAAACGGATATTTTTAAATATTTAACACAGGAGACTAAAATTTGATTTTGAAAGTAAATTTTTAATGATAATGCAAAGAAAAATAAAGAATCATTAAATGAGTATACGGTTTAAATGAAATAATAATAATAAATCAATAAATCTAAAAGTTCAATAAATTCCCTTTTACAATGTGTATATGTCAAGCATTCAATATTTTGTTTTTGGATTTTGCTTCTTGTAACCATAAGTTTTAATTCATTACGTCAAAATTATCTTAGAATTTGCATCTCAAGAGCAAAACGACATCATTACAGTTATATATACTATTTTAAACTAAAGTGTGCCTAGATTAGATGTTAAGTTCTCAGATAAATAATGTTTTAAAATCCAAAGGTTTCGTGTCTCGTCGATAAGTCTTTTACAGAAGTAAATCAAAAAGTTCTTCCTTACGCTCTTTTTAAGTGGCTGAGAAAAAGCACCAACCTTCCGCCAGCTAATTGGACAACTTCCAACCACGTTTTCAATCAGTAATAATACAAATAAGGAAACACTTGAGTATTTCAAATGAATTTAAAAACTTCTTTAATTATACATCGCTAGATTCAATAAATTTAGTTTTTATCTAGATGAAATTACATTACCGCTTTCACCACCAATTAACTTTCATGTGTATCTTAAAAGCTGTTTTATGAATCTTTAATGCCAAAACAAATCTGAAAGTTATTTATTATAAACGATATCATGTTTTAGTTTTTCTGGTCCTTCGGGATCATTGAGTCAAGCACTTTTAAGTGATGAGAATTGAGTACTGCTCAAGCCGGTGCTGGGGGCGTGATGGATGTTGCATTTTTTCATGTTTCTAATGCTTCCAAGGGCTCCCTTTTTACCCAGATATTTATAACTTAGTTTAAACGTCACAAACTATTTTCACACCCTTCATTATAGATAGTGACATTTTACTCTCTAGTATTACCTTTGAACAAAATAAAATATGTAGAGTTTCGAGTAGTTTTAGAGATGTCACTGTGTACAAAACATGGCAAATGTCAAACAAATGTTTGTGGTACTTCCTGACATATTAAGAGATGTTTTGCATTGAAGGACCTTAAGAACTTTATGTTGTTGATCTGCTTAAAGATAAAAATGAATAGATCAGTTCTTAAACGAGGCAGACGCTTATCGTCGAGTGGTTGTCTTTAATTAATTGATACTTAAACTCCACTTTAAGAAACATGTCTTCTGTTTGACCGTTATGATTAACTATTTGACATTTATATTATCAGATTTACAGATGAAGATTTCTTGAAAGACAAAGATGTGTACAATCTCAAGCATTTATTAGTGGACCATCAAGTCGCAAATCGATGTTACTCCTACAAGACAATACTTATATCGCAATTTGTGTTAGCAATACTAAGCATTATATAGATGCGAATAGATACTGAGTTTACATGCATATTCCGTGACACATTTTGCATTATACTTTTACTCATATTTTATATTATTGACATTGAAATGAATTTCTTATTAATTGACATGTATAAAATAGATAAATACAGAATCCCTAAAGAAAGCCCAACACGGCAAAATTGAAAATGTTGCAGGCTCGGTTTGATTGAGCCTGTTCATGGACGGTACTGGAAAGTGCAAGTTACCGTCCACGCCCCCTAGCACCGGCTTAAGCAGAATTCAACATTTAAACATGAAATAGTAAAATTTTGAATTTAGAAACATCCGCAGATGTGTTCATACGGCGGTTATCATGGAACTTTCAATGTGACACTTCCGTGCCATTCCATAAAAAGCGGCGTATGGTCCCCAAGTAATAAAAAGCGTGTGTCCTAAACGAGAAAACAATGGGCGGAACTAAATAAAAAATAATAAATAAAGTTTGGTTCTTTTAAGAAATGTAAAATCATAGAAACAATTTACATTTGTACTTTCGTTGTTTGCATGCAATTTAAGAAAAAAAGTTTGCATTGAAAAAGATCTTCTGATTTTGCAATTACATGAATACATGTTCTTAAGAAACAACTTTTCATGTATTTCGTGAGTTTCATGCCTTGTTAAGATTTTTTGTCTATTTTCTCGCCAATTAAGTTCTCTATAAAAGGTTTTTAAGTTTCTACTATAGTCGTTGTAGAATTGATATGTAATATGTTGTTATGTATGAAAGTAAGATCTATCCGAATACTTTCATGTAAAAGATTTAAAATAGAATTATAATTTATAAAAGAAATTAAAGATATGAAGCTTGCATTTGGTTTCAAGTTATTTACTTTAAAATAAACATCCGATGAATTGAGATAAAAGGTTAAAAGGTTTTAAAAGTTGTCATATACTCGTATCTTCGCAACAGTTATGAAAGATTCATTTCAACATACCAATGAAAAGTTGTAATCATTTTTTTTCTTATTCAATTGAAACATGTCATATTTTATTGTTATTATGTGATATTAATTAAGTGTTGAAAATGCTTGTTTACTTTTATATTTACGGCGGAGAAACCACTTAAGCCGGTCCGGAAAAAAAGTGATTCTTCAGGGAGGTTTTATAGATTTACCATATACATTTTTAATAAGTTACGTGGATATACTTTGCATTCATTTGTAAAACCAAAAAAAAAAAACAAGCATTTCTCTCCGTTGGTTGCCTGTACATGGGTTATTATAATATCATTGAGGTGCTGCCATGTTGTCTTACTCACCTATTAAGAAATGACACCTAAATTATAACGTGAAGGTTAGTACCAATGACTTGCAAAGTGTTATCAAATAAGTTTCAAAATTCCAAAAAATCCTCTCATTTGATTTTTTTAAAGTGCAAAAGTGCAAATCATTGAATACCTTACATTGCAGTGTCTAGGATATGAGATCTTATTGCTACTTATTACTTTATTTCATTTTTTTTTTTTTGTAATAAACTAAATATTTTGGGGGAATATTAACCAACCCACAAAGTCCGTATTCTTTGGTTACGTCAACAGTTTATACAGAAATGTTATAAGATTAAGGGGATCAATAATGTAGGATTAGAAGTATTTTCTGACGTGCTGTTTAAGGTTAAGAGTTACGATAATAACAAGTATCGTGTACTTGGAGATAAAGTTATCTACTCCTCGGTTATGAAAGTGTTTAAAATGGGTATATCATTAAATCCAACTATGATATATTTCCCCAAAATCGTTGGTTTATTGCAAAAAAAAAGAATAAATAGATAACAAAAAGTAAGAAATAAGTAGAAATTTGATGTCATCGACGAGACATTACAATGTAAGAATGATTTGCACTTTTAAATACAGGAATTATATAAATACGGGAGTGGATCTTTTTTTCTTTTTTTTTTTAATTTTAAAATTATAGGTATTATACAACATCAAGAAGTGTACAACACAGATGAAAAGAGGTGGCAGCTTGTATCTTATGCTTTATTTTAGCTATCGTACATAGCTATGACAGTGTAATATACATGTATACAAGTAATTTGCAATATTATACTTTAAATAAAAATATAATTTAAAGATAATTTAAAATGTTCACGATTGTTACCTGTTTTATACATAGTACTAACAACTTTTTGTAACAACTTTTTTAATTTCGTTACTTTTAATTTCTTTACTTATAGTGTGAACTGTAATAAATTTACATTTATCATTTATATTTAATTACTTATTGTTTTTACTAAATAAGTATTTCTATTCTTTGTTTTCTTCTACAAATAAATTAATCATTTGAAAATCATGAAATAAATCTGAAAGAATCACGAGTAAAAAACATAACAATACATACACAATATAGAAATAATTTTTCAGAAAATTTGCTCCGTACTTAATATTAAATAAATTTCTAGTTTTGAAATTTTCCTTCTTCAGAAATGGCATACATGCATTTTTTATATAAATTTATATAATGGTTTTATGTTTGTTAGATGCTTATCATCAAAGCAGAGTTGAA